CAGAGAGGCCGCAAGAGGCCTGCCGGCTGCCGAGAGGCTTTTGAAGCCGGTCCAAAATGCCTCACGTTGCCTTCGGAAGCCCATAAGAAGAGAGGAGGCAGGCTTCGGACAGGCCACAGAGAGGCCGCAAGAGGCCTGCCGGCTGCCGAGAAGCTTCGGACAGGCCACAGAGCGGCCGCAAGAGGCCGAAAAGCTTTTGAAGGCGGTCCAAAATGCCTAAACGTCGCCTTTGAAGCCCATAAGAAGAGAGGAGGCAGGCTTCGGACAGGCCACAGAGAGGACGCAACAGGCCGGCCAGCTGGTGAGGCCTCGGACAGGCCTTTGGAAGTGCTTGGAAGGGTTCTGCTAGGCTTGGCCAACTGCTGCATCCTGCGCCTTTGGAAGTGCTTGAAGGGTTCTGCTAGGCTTGGCCAACTGCTTCACCCTGCGGTGTCCCAGGCGCCTCCCCGCCTAGGCTTTGGCTATAGGCCGGGGTCGGCGGATATTATATATGTCTTTTGTTGGTGTTCCATCTCAAATCGTCCCCCGTCCATTCTACAGCTTCAGGGAGGTCCTTGGGGTTGGTGTCCACTGAGTCCACCTCGAAGCAGTCACCCCACTGCTGAGGGCATGGAGATGGATGGGGCGGGGCGGATCCTTGCAGCTTCAGTCACGTCACCGACGGCTGGATTTGTTTTTTGGATGCGACAAATTGGCCCGTATTTGGAGTCCAGTGCAGAGGCGGTACTTAGTTTGTGGCATTTACTGGTCTAATATTGAAACTGTTGAATCTCATACAAGTGTCATCGTATTTCGCACTACTGGTTCCGTGCTTGTTTTGTCTACTCCTGTTCCGGCTGTGCCAAGAGTGCTGTTAAAAGCATGGAATCTCTTTGCCAGGTCTGATGGGGCGTCCAGTGATTCTGCGTCTTCAGCAGGCGGTGGCTCCTTCGCCTGGAGCACAGAATGCAAAGATCGACAGATACAGACAACCAAAAAGAAAAGCATGATTGGCGGGTGACTTGCCATTGTTGAGATTGAAAGAGTGACGTGTCGTATTGGTGTCTCATGGTGTCTCCATGGTTGAGGCGTTGCCGTCTTCGATGTGGTTGGAGCCTAGATGTTGTGTGGACTTTGGGTGTTCAGTCTCGGTATGCTACTGTATGCATTGATTGAACAATATTGATGATATGATGCAGTCTCCTCTCCGACTCTTGCTTCAAAGCTTCATGGTCAGCGCTTGTCAAGGTCTGGCGTGACATACTCCGCTGCGTCATCCGCATCCACAGTGACCGAGGACCGCATCCACGATGCGTCAAAACGGCACAATTCTGAGCACCCGCCGTCACCGCAGTGCAGGACATGCTCACCCATCGCCGGCCTCTTCTAGAGGGCTATGCGCACGCTTTGAGACCTCTGCCTAGAATCCTAGATCTTAGATGGGGAATGTGGTCAATGTATTCGTCTGAAGTGGGCTGGGCATTCTCAGACCCAGCGCGGCACTCTTCGCTTCGCACGTGTTGACCTTGCTAAGGTTCATGACTAGAGGAGACATCACACACCTCTTGTCGAAATTTCCCCATCAGGCAGGGCAAGTCGTTCTGCTTCCTTCCAATGTGGCTGCGGGGCAAAGCTATTTGGACATGAGCCCTCACGTGTGTTTTTAATGCATGACACTGATTTTGAATTACAAGGGTTTGGTTGCATTGTGCTGCAAGCTTTTTCTGGACTTTTTTTTCCTCACACACATTCATATTGATACTTTGGCAGCCCTTTGGTGCCGATCAGGTTCTGCTGGGTGGCACAAATTGCGGCCGCCAATTCGCAGCACATCGGGCTTGTCTGGCCAAGGTTATTTCAATCGTCTGAGTGAACATGAGAGAGAGAGAGAGAGAGAGAAAGATAAAGAGACAGAGAAAGAGAGAAGGGAGGCCAACCTAATTGTAGTGGCCTCCAACCTACTAGCGGTGGCCTCCAGCCTCCAACCTAAAAGCGATGGCCTCCAATTTAAGAAGGAGAGAGAGAGAGAGAGAGATATATATATATATACAGATACATAGAGAGAGAGAGAGAGAGCGGGAGAGAGAGAGAGAGAGAGAGAGTGCCGCGCGCATCTGCGCTGCTGGCTCGAAGCAGCTGTCCACGCCACCAGCCACTTCCCATGGCGTTGTTGCTGCATCCAGTGGCGTGGATTGCAGCTCGTCTAAGCCCGTTGGCAGAGAGAGAGGGTCCATGCCATGCGAGCGCATTTCATTTCACTCACAACTCCCCGCGCAACAGATCATCGTGTATTTATGGTGCAAGTTGGCCTTCATTTGTGTTCTAAGGTCTTGGCACAGATCCCCCAGGCAAGCGCACTCTCCAAATACCAAGGGCCAAAGCCGCCCTGGCCATACAAGGTGAGGGCTGGATCGTGGGAATCGAGACACGTTGGATTTGCCATGACGAAGATCGAACGCCAGGGCTTCACGTCTTTTCCGGCCTTCTATTTTGGCGCCAATGAGAGCGGACTGGAGCCTTTGTTTGAAATCGCTGCTTTGAAAGCGAGAGTTGCGGCTTCGTTCTACCATTGGGTTCTCAGGAGAATGCTTCCTGGCTGCCCTTTGTGGCGCAACATCAAGTGGCTGGCTGGGGGTGGCAGCAGAATTTCCGCAGTGTGGGCCAAGACAGGCTCGCACGGCAATGTGTCCGTCTTTGGCCACAATGATCTGTACCCATTCAAGCAAGCAGTTCTTGGCACACGTGCTGCGTTTTTGTGTTGCAGGCAGCGATACTTTCAACAAGAGGCAAGTCCCCTGTGTTTGGAGTTTATTTCAGCCTAAGGGACGCCACTCAAATACCCTTCTTAGGCCCTTCTTCACCCTTCAAAGCCACACAAGTGGTCAAATATGGTCAAATGCAAAAGCAGATGAAGACTCCTTTTGAGGAGCTGCATGGGCTCCACGTCAACCCCTGGCAGGTCTCCCTGGCTCAGATGGCCACGCGAATGGCCACCTACATAGAGGTGACGCCGAAGACACCGGAGAAGCGCTTGCAGGAGGGAAGAGCCGGAGAAGGGGGACACCTCGAGAGGCCTCCAAAACGAGGAGGTGGAGGGTGGTCTCGGCGTCATACAAAAAGTGTACATTGGCTGTCGCGTTTTGCATGGGATGATTTGTGGTCTGGCCATGTTTGGGTTGGTTTCTCTCCTGTCGTGATTGCATGGAACATCGAAGTACAGAATCGCACGGGAAAACAGGCAGTGTTTTGGACTCGCACCCTCCCAAACTACCTCAGGGAGAGGATGGTGTTTACCCAATGTGAATTGCGGCGTGCAGATCAAGTATGCCCGACTTTTGCAAGCAGGAAGTTGAGAGAAGTTATGAATGCAAAACCCGCGCAATCCAGCAGGCGAAGTTTGTCTACCGCCATCTGGAAATTGCAGAAACACGGCTGCCTTCTTTTGAGAAACCGGACAGCAGTCCAGTAGACTCATGGCAAGTGAGTGAAGCAATTGGTGGTCGATGTTCAAGAACGCGCCTAGGAGTGGTATTTCATGACCTCTGCAGCCGCCTATCATGACCCGTCAAATGCCGCGCCTTGCCTCTGACGTTGGTTGTTGGATGCGTTGGTTTTAGCGGTGAAGCAGATAGACTTGGCACTGCGATGTTGTAAGTGGCCAAATTGTGCTGTGGTCAGCCCAGCCAAAACTGGTCCCAGAAACATGATGAGAAATGGACAACCAGGGATGTCAGCCTACAAAGCAACCTCTCTATTTGCCCCTTGACTTGCCATTCAGCCAGGTTTGGAGAAGGTTTTCAATCGCAGCATTAAATTATAAGTATAAGCATGGTTAAGCTCCTCACAAACGAGACCCACGAACCAAAGCAGAGCAAATTCCAGAAGCGAAATGGAACGAGCGAGAGAGCAACAAAAGCAAAGAGGAGAATTATCGACGTACGAGTTCTAGAGAATTTTGTGCATCCCCATGGACCTAGACTGCAGGAGGTAACTCTTCAGGTCTCCTCATCCTGACATGGGCTCAAATGATGTGTGGTGCGAATGAGGGCAGCAATTTTCTTGACAAACCCGGTGCGTGCCAACGATTATGATTCTTTGGCAGGCATGCTGCATGCTAATTGATATGACGGCCGGCTCAGTGCCACAAAGCCAAAGATAAACTGGGATGGTGTTGATCCAGATGACCACTTCTCGAGCCTGTGTATATTGTTAACTATATAACACCTGTTTGCGCAATGAGTCATGTTGAGGTGGCCAAAATTTGGACCCCTGGATGATCAGCCTAAACATGAGGTGGATGGATAGGCAAGGTTTGTCCCGTACAAAGCGTAATACCTACCGGAGACTGGAGTGAAAAGAAGACCCGATGGTCCAGCGCACACAGGAGCCAAGCCATCCTATGAGAAGGGGGCAGGAGCAACCAGTGGAAGGTAGAAACCCTCAAGCAGACGCCGAGGGAAAACACCAAAAATACAATCTGTGAGCAGCCCCTTTCTTAATTCCTTTCTTAGTGACGATGCTCACAAAGCGAAGCTGTTGTTACATACAACGCAAAGTCTGGAAAGAGTCCAGCAAATTTGATCATTTTGGGTTACAGCAAGAAGTACTGTACATGGATCTGAGCTTGGGTGCGAGTGTGTCGACATGTTCAACCACAGCACCTACTCAAACTTGAAGCTAAGCGGGAAATGTTTCCCCAAATATTCGCCTGAAAATGTCCTAATATTCGGCTTAAAGGACAAAGGTTGAGGAATCTTGGGGATGGACATTCCACTTCTCAGCCGGGAACTCATTCCGCCATCGAAGGTGATGGTTTGTGTCGCAGTCGAGCCTGAGGCGACAACTCTCGCTGCTTCATGTTTGGGTCGGGTGGAATCCTGTCACTTACAGTACTGATCTGTACAGTACTGATCAACTTACGACGTGTTCATGGCCAAGCGCCGCGTGGTTTTGGATGGCATGTTGCAAAGGGCCACCCCGTTTGGGTGAGCGCAAGCCCTTTGGGCCATGCTGTCCGCTGGTCGATTTGGTTGGAGAGACAGCCAACTCGTTCCCATTTGGCAGCTGAGCCGTCCGTGATCTCTAACCACAAGAGTATCCCGAGTTGTCCCCGCGCATTGGACACTGGACCGGATGATCTCAAGATATCCCAAGTAAGAACTTCAACAAAGACGACATGCAAAGACAATCAAAGTAAGCTACTAGTAACAAGTAGCTACTAGGGGCTCCTGGCATCGCTACTAGGAGCGATCGGACGCTACGATCGGGGCTCCTGGCCGTACTACTAGGAGCATTCTTGCTACTAGCAACAAGTAGCCGTAGCTCTTTTGGCCGGGACCTCTCACGACCGGGACCTCTGTTGCTGAGGACCTCTTTCTGCACGACCGGGAGGGACGCCTGTGCAACTTGGCACGCAGTTCGTGGCTGTGCAACTGGGGGTAAATGCCGTGTGGCATGTGGTGTTTGTGGCGTTGCTGCATGTGGGTGGAGCCGTTTTGGATGAGGTTGGGACAGCTTTGGCAACACTGGTCCATATTGGAACTTCAGCAATCCTCGTGTGAGTGATTGGATTCTGAACGAAGTTGCATCAGAGATTGGACGAGAGGCCAATGTCCAAGCACCTTTGATTGATTTGATTTGATGCTTGTGCCATGAGCGTGCCCGAACACGCATCTTGTGGGAGCCGCGTGACACAAGTCTACAATGAACAACGGCACGAGATTTTGTTTTACTGTAAATATTGTTTTTGGTCATCCAAGTCCTAGGCCGTCTTTTTTGATGAAACGGATTACCTCTACTGTGGAGGGACCGCTGGAAACTGCAGTGCAGATGTTCATACTGGAGTTTCTTGGCTACCAACGGAACGGGGAGATGCTCCAGCAAGAGGGTTTGGGATTCTGAGATTTTAGTGTGTTTGCCAGGGCCCCCCCTTGAAAGCCACAAATCCACATGCTGGCGGCTCAGGAGGAGGGCTTGGCCCAATACCGTGCAAAGCTGCAGCTGCTGAGAAGCTTATCCCTGACTTTGAATCGCAAGAAGGTTTGGCCCATTTACTCCAGCTACTGGGCCTGTGATAGGATAGCAATGGACACATAGGACATAGGAGATGTAATGGTCATCAACAAATGATAGTTGCAAGCAAGAGGGCCAAGGTTACAATGGCTATTCGGATTTGCCGTGGCGAAAATGTTTGATGCCCTTTGATGAGTGACTTGGCAGCATCGACGCGCACACCGATTTTCAAGCTCTAAGGTCGGATCGTTCTCTGAAAAGCCTCAGGTACTTTAATGTGCTGCAAGATGTTGGTTGGATTCGTTTCTATGAGACTCATGGCTGCAGCATGCATCAACACTAGCTACAGTAGCATCAGTAGCTACAATTTATTGTTGGTTTGCCAGCATGTTTGAGGTTTGGCATTGGAGCAACGTCCCCGAGTGCAGCCTGGGATAGTCAGGTGGAAGATGTTCAAATGTAGGGTGGATGGTTTGGCAGTCTTTCACATTGCAGATGCTTGGGAGTTTAAGCAACTGTTCTGCACCTGCCAGGCCACACTGGCACAGGCCATGCGCGAGTCAGAGTTGGGACTGCCTGTGATGGTGCGAGCAACGCCACAAGCGAAACTATGGTGGCAAGAAGGCAGATTTGGTGCGAACAAGCAACCTGGAGCAATTCGAACGCGTCAAATCAGCCGCTGCTTAAGGAATGCCAAGTCGGGTGCCTCCCTTCCATTGGGCCTGTTCCTGCTAGTGCAGAATGACTACTGGCTGCTCGAATGAGGTTATTATGTGTTTATTTTTTCTGAACCTATGCCCTGAGTTGTTTGCAAGAACGAGTCTGCATGTTGTAAGGTACTTGGGAATTTCAACTGGGTGGCTTTCTGAAAACTGGCAGTGGTGGCCGGAATATGAACTTTGGCTGAGACAGCCATGGGTCTCATGTCTCATGTCTCACGGCAGAGATGGCCCAGTGAGGCAGAGACGACATGAGAGAGACGGGGCGTCTCTGTGAGACGGCTCAGGGACGAGTTATGCCCGAGAGAGCGAGAGAGAGAGAGAGAGAGAGAAAAACACCGCATATCAGTATATCTTCCATATCCTGGGAGCCGCCACCTGTGGGTTCAGTCCACCTCAGAGCCCAGGACAAGCTCTATGGCTCTCCGTTGGGCCAACCTGAGCTGAAAAGCGATGGGTGGCACCGGAGATTTCAGAAATGCCACGTGTTTGTGAGCGCCCTGGCTGAAAAGTCTGAAAAGGATCCTAAGCAAGGCCATATATGGTCATATGCTTTTGATGTTTTGCAAGCGTGAATGTACGCCCCCACACATCTCGGAGGCACGGACCTGACTCATGCCAACGTGACCTTCACTGACATTGTAAGCCTTTGAAAGTGTACATAGGCCACTCTTAGGGCGTGCAACTCGCATGCCCTGTGGCAATACATGCTTAGGACAAAAGAGCCTCAGAACACGGCATGGCCCGCCGAGCACACACAGGAAAAAGTCACAAGTTTGTTAGGATCGAATGTCCCAATTTGTATGGACACTCTGAGTGGGGAGACCCTTCAAATATCCGGCATGAACAGCTATACTGTATATGATTGTGTGAAACTCCTTGGGTGGACTGACCTCAATTGGTTTTTGCTCATAACTGCCCTTGTTTGGACTGACCTGGAACGCCAGGAACTCTTGGAGGAGCTTTTTGGTCTGGACCTGAAAAACGGGGAGATTCACAAGGACGGCTGGGAGAGATTCACCAGACAGGACGTTAGGTGCATTTGGAAGTGTACCATGTGTTTTGATGCCGCCATGACGTGGTGTTTGGCCTACGCCAGTGCCTACCCCATGCGGAAAATAGTTGCCATATTTTGCTCGTGAAAGGGTGTGTATGGCAGCCGCAGTCATGTGGCTAATTGGCCAAGACCCTTTGCAACTGTGATCAATCGGATGCCGAGGCTCACTTGTGGTTTGGGACTGGGCCTTACTCTTCAAGTGCAGATTGCATTTCTATCGGATTTTCTTGCCATGTTTGGGCCACGATTTGCTGGCATCAGGTGAAATCGCCCGAACGCCGTGGCAGGATGCCGTGTATCCACAAAGCACCCTCCTTTACATGTGCTTCATCACTGATATTTTGATGCCTGGCGCAGGATCAGGCTGGCCTTTGGCTCTAGCTTCAGGTATGCAGAGGACTGCCAGCTGCCGCTTCACTAGTTCACTAGTTGTGTGGAAAGCCCCCCCCCCCACACACACACACACTTTGACAATGGGTTTGCAGTTAACCTCGAAAGGAATGAGGGAAACGCAAGGTGAAAGGGTCAGCGAAAAAGAATTGTTGAACATTGTTTGCAAAGACTCAAGGTCGATCTGTGCAGTCAACGTGGCGGCAAGTCGTCTGCAAAACGGTGAGGGCAGCTGAAGGAAAGGTTTGGGGGAAGCATCATGAGAACCACCATGGAAGCAAAAAACAGCGGCCGAGGGAAACCAGTGGAGTCAATGTGTTAGGTTGATTTAGGTTGCAGGTACAGGATCAAGCGTTCTTGATCCCTTCCCATCTGTGGTCGTAGCTTCGTTGCGTGCAGTGGACCACAGATGCTGCACGCCCCTGCTTGTGGAAAACTCTCAGGAACAGAGTGTGACACAGACACTCGGCCGCTTTGCGGCGCTCTCGCGGAGGACCTAAAAAGGCACCTAAGAAGCCTTAGAAGCAAAAGAGCGAAAAGCAGAAAGAGCAGCGCTAAAAGGGCAAGAGAGAAAGATAGGAGTAGCAACTTAGCCTTTGACTGGGGTAGGGAAACGAGCCTGAAGAACAACCTAAAAAGCCTGAGAGAAAGCCCAAGAAACGACAAAAAGCGCAAGAAGGAAAGTGCGGGGCAGGGAGGTGTATGTACATGTGTGTGTCCGTGTGTGTGTATGAATGCCTCGCACTCGTAGAATTACTGGATACTTAGACGAAGGGAATTAGGTGCACTAGTTAGGGAGCGGGACTTCCCGCCCGGGTAGAGTAGACTAGAAAAGGAGCAACAGAGGGAAAGGCCCCGACACACAAGTGTGTCGAGTACCATTTCCCTCTGTTACCCTAATTAGAGGGGGGGTTGGGGTGTTTGTGGTAGAGAACACGTTTGGGTTTACTCTCCATATGCCCGGCGGATCCCTGCGGCTTTGAGCCCGGCGGCTTTTGATTTCGAGAAAACAGTGGTTAAACGAAAATCAGTTAAGATAATCCAACGAGTGCAGAAAGCAGTAACGTCAGTTAGTGGTAGTCGGCACGAAATCGGCGCCCCAGTGACGGGGATCACACTGTGCACCCACGTGGGACAGCACAGCGGCACACACTTTGACAATGGGATTGCAGTTAACCTCGAAAGGAATGAGGGAAACGCAAGGTGAAAGGGTCAGCGAAAAAGAATTGTTGAACATTGTTTGCAAAGACTCAAGGTCGATCTGTGCAGTCAACGTGGCGGCAAGTCGCCTGCAAAACGGTGAGGGCAGCTGAAGGAAAGGTTTGGGGGAAGCATCATGAGAACCACCATGGAAGCAAAAAAACAGCGGCCGAGGGAAACCAGTGGAGTCAATGTGTTAGGTTGATTTAGGTTGCAGGTACAGGATCAAGCGTCCTTGATCCCTTCCCATCTGTGGTCGTAGCTTCGTTGCGTGCAGTGGACCACAGATGCTGCACGCCCCTGCTTGTGGAAAACACTCAGGAACAGAGTGTGACACACACACACGTGCATAAATAACTAGACATTTGACATTAAATGAACAACCGCATTTATATATATATATACTGTGCGTGTTGATAAACACATATTTTTAAACATACATGTGTTTTGGAGATGCACATACACCCATAAGTGTGCTTAATATTCAACATATGTTCCCAGCAGGTGGCATTTTAATCACCATCCTCGACCGAAAAACTCGCAAAGTGTGGCCGTGTACTTCCTCACAGTTCTTCACACACCCAGGAGCCCTACATGCTGGGCAGCTGGGTCTTGGAGGGTCAATAATCTGACAGACATGAGAGATCTTTAAAAGAATTGGGAAAGCCACATCTCATGCACAGACTTGGAACATTTGCAAGCTTGATCAAACTTGCCTTTCATTTGGTTTGAAATTTTTGTCAGGCCGGATGCCCTACTATCTACTTGTAAGTTAGTCTTATATTCACCTTTTTAACACAGATGAAATTGGTTCAGCCAGTCCTGAGTCCTGAAGACATTGTGTTAACTCTTGTGTGTTTCTACCAAGGTGTGATGACCACGCTGCAATTCATGGGCGATGGTGTCCAAAGAATTGGCATGGCTCTTGGAGGTTTTTGTTGGTTCCAGGCGGATTGTTGGCCATCCTTGCCACATGGTTTCTATTTAGGCGCCAGGTGTGAACTCATAGGCGATCCTGCTTGAAAGGAGAAGTTCTCCACTTCTTTTGTCCTTTTCAATGATCACCGCTGGCCCAAGGTAATGAGGTTTGCCCTGTCGTCCCTGAAGAGAACGAGGACGAGGAGTGGGCGGCGTCGCTTGGCAGCCAAACAATGAGAACCTGCAGCGTCGGGTAGGGTAGTGGGTAGGGTATGTTCTGCCATTCCTCGCAGCAGTTGAGTAGATTGATGTATATATGTAGATTGTAGACATTTGTAGACCCAACAGCCGGGGCTGGTTATGACGACGTGATCAGGTCAGAGTGCGCGGCCTCAGCCGCTCGAGATGCGCAGGGGACTTGGATGGGATCGCGAGCGTTTGTTTTTTTCAGATGCTGGTGACGCTGTCTTAGCTGTGAGTGTTTCTTTTCCTGCAGGGCTCCGGAGCAGGGTGCTTTGGAATTCGAAGAGGTAGTGGTTCCCTTGACGGAGGCGCATTGTGTTCTACAGCGGCCAGATGTAGGAATTTGAAAGGTTGACAGGTTGACGAGGTGTCGTTGCATTGAATTGCCCGAAAATGATGCAATGTTGGAATCTTAGATGAGGCTCGAACTGAAGAATACTCTCGCATTCGCTGCCAGGTATCTTCCCGAGAGCTCTTCCTAGCGGAATTATTGCAAAGTGATCAGCTCCAATCCCAGCTCCAGTTCTGTTGCACCTGTCTGACTGCCTTCGGTCCGGGTTTGGGGTGTCGCATGGTGTCGCAGGTGTCAGTTGCTGGCCTCACTTTCGCAGGTACGCCGATCGCCAGTTGAAGCCGGTCGAAGCTGTAAACAAGTGTCGAAGCCGTGGCCAGGGCTCCCACTCCAAGTATGGGCACCGTGCATTGCGTCGGCGTCGGCGTACTTTGAGACATGCAACTTGGCTCAGAGAGCAGAGCAAAGCCTTTTGGCAGGTGAACTCGGGAATCAATTCACGTTGTTAAGTTGCGAATGGCCTGCGATGCTTGTGGGGGGGGGGCATACATAACTGCATACACAATAAGACTGGCTCAGCCTGTGCCATTTCCATCCCTTTCCATTCTACGGGTTTGGGACACCGCCAGGGCCTTTGTGAGACCCTCATGTGGCAAGGTCAGAGAAGCAACCCAGCTTCTACATAGCGCAAGGGGCCTGGCAACCAGCTGTGGCGCGCCTTTTTTGGTCCCGCGCTATCAGTGCGAAACGGCCAAATCTATTGGAAGCACGGCCTGCTAAGGTTCCCAATGATTCGTGACCTCATTTTCTTTTGCAATCAGTGGCACTCCCGGCCGCTTTGCAGCTCTTTTCGTTTCGTCCGCTGAAAAAGCGGATCGCAAGACGGAACAAAATACCAGCAGCGACTTGGCGCGCTTGCTTGACAATGCTTGGCATGTTTGTCAAGCTGTGTCAGTCATGTACATCTATTGAAGCAGGTCGACCATCGACTTGCGGTTTTCAATGCCGTTTCGACCATCGGCTGCCTGGCCTTACTTGACCTTCTTTGGGTTGGCTTCTTCAATACGCCAAGAAATGTGGAACTCAAACACAAATTGTTTACTAGGTCAGATGCCGGGTGAGGCTTTCTGTTCCCCACAGCCTCCAAGAGGCTTTGTTGCCTGTTTTGTTGTTTAATGATCAAAAATTTGTTAATGTTGGCCAACAGTTGTGCTTTGCTTCTGTTTGACCCCAAGCCAGCTGGTCAGTTCGGAGTGATTGTTCGTGATGCCATGGAAAAGCCTAAGTTTCATACCGGCACAGGGTTGGCCCGACCACTGGGCTCTCCACCAGCTGCAAGGCACAAAAAGTCGACCTTTAAGTTCGGCAGACGGAAGCACAGCAGCTCAGCAAGAGACTTTTTGTAGCTTGTTGCTTGCCACGCGCTACGTGGGACGCCACGTGGGACGCCGCCTGCCACATGCAATGCTTCAGTTGTTCGAGAGGATAAACGTGAAGCTTTCAAAGTGCACGTGGCTTCTCATTCAGATAGAAACATGCCAAAGTAGAAGACTGCACCATGAACCTGCAAATCGCAACCACAAGGACAGCCACAAAAAGACAACCAAAGGGCACGAAGGTGCATAGTTTAAAGGTGACAATGCACCGAGTGCCCCATTGCCATGTATGACTTCGCGGATGCACTGCCTGCCGAAGCACAGCACGAGATAGCGCGAGCCTTGATGCACCCTGGGGGCTTTGTCCCCCTTCCAAGGCGAAGGATTGGACACGAGGCACATTGATGGTATGATCTGACGTTCTGAGAGGCCCCGCATATTTTGGCATGACTGCCCAGATCTTTGTGTTCGGTAGACACGTGACTTTGGTATGACTGTTCGTGCATGCCTTTGCGCCAATGTTTGGTCTCAAAAGCTCAGAAGCGCAGCAAGTAGCTGCTATTCAGTTAGATGATGTGCGGAGGCTGCACCGGCCATGATGCGGTAGCTGCAGCAGAGCACAGCCCAACAGCATCGAGGGGGTGATGTTCAGCATTTGTTGTGTTGGCCAGGTGATGTAGTAGTTGCAAGGAAAAGGGAAAAGATGTGATTTGATTCAATGGCATGCCTCGATCAACGAATCTGGGGGCGCACTGGCACGTGCCGCCGCATCGCACCAAAGGCATGAAACAACATACACAACATAGGAGTAAAAAGACTTACTGTAAACAAAGCCTGGCCCCGTCATGGAAGCTTTGCGGGCTCCCTTGGATGCAATTCGCACACGTCTCAACAGACGGCCGCTTGGACGCAGATCGTGCTTACGCTGCACTGGCGGGGAGCCTACTGCAGGGGAGAGAGGGAGGGAAGGAGGGAGAGATAGAGAGGGAGAGTGAAGGCAAAAGAGTTGTTTACCTTCATAGTAGTTAATTTGAATTCTACTAGGAACAAGTGCACTAGGAACAGGTGCCTTACTACTAACTAGTAACAAGAAGCTATTAGAAACAAGAAGCTAGAAAAGCATCCAGAATGATCCTCCCCATCCGAACTTCCTGAGTTCACGAAGATCGTTCTGTCAACACGCGTCTTTCAGGAAGTCTTTTCTTCAGAAAACCTGAACATGAGGGGCCGTTTCTGGCATTCACTTCCAACATGTCGAAAACGCCGGCTCAGCAACCGAGCTCTTCACGAGTTTCTGCCTTACCCGAGAGAAGTAGTCGTCGAATTGAGCGGCCGGTGGCAGGATTGCTTTGCAACGTGCTGTGCCGGAGAGTGAGGCCAATCACGTGGGTGGAGGGACCATGTTGGGTCACTGTGGCACACAGCGCAGATGCTTGTGGTTTCGAAAGCTCAGGTTGATGTCAAGGCAGTGCGGACCTTTTGGTGGCTCAGTTGCAAACTGGTTGGTCAAGACTCAAACTTTAGGATACTTTAGGAATGTCAAAGACTTATCCCCAATGTCAATCTGGTCCGCTGCGGAGGTCCTCCTTACCTACAGAGGTTCGCCTAGAAGTTCTGCGCTTCACTGATTCCACTGTCGTTCAGCGAGTGCACGACTACATGATCAAGCTGCTAAAAGCAGAGACTTTGCTCAATATAATTTCTATGAAACCGCATTATTTCTAGCACTTTCATTCAAAAATTCAGTGGCGGAAGTGCAAGGAAACAACACATGGAGCATTTCTCAGACCATTTAGGAGAGAGAATAGAGAGAAAGATAGAGAGAGAGAGAGTTGCACCCGTATTTCATAAGAAGTTATACCTCCCATAGGTTTTCATTGGGATATATACTTGTGCATAGGGGTTAACATTTCCTGCATAAAATGACTGGCCCTGGGGCTCGTATGAAACTTTCTTTTAGACCCCTAAAGTGACGATGCGGCCCGTCACTTCGTAGTAACTTTAAAAAATGACGACGTAGCCCTCATTTTGTAGAGATTTCGTACTGGTGGTTAAATGCATGGACGGCCATTTTTTCTTTCTGAACATGTGCTGATTATGTTCTCACAAAGCCACAGCCATCCAACCAATTTCTAGAGAAGGATCGGAGTGTCGAGGAATTCAAGATAAACAACATGTATACAGGTTTGTTGTGTGTCGACCATTGAATTCGTACACCTAATCAAAATTATACAAAAAAGACATCCTGCCATTTCTATTCTATTCTCCGAATCTCTTGGATCCCTCTTTGGGTTGAAGCATGTTGCAGCCTGCGTGATCCAGAGATTCTATAGAACGATGGTCCCTATTGTTGAGAGTGCCCTGCCTCTACGAAAGGACAGTTCTTGGTTGAGAGTGCCCTGGCTCTGCAAAATGACAGCTCTGTGCATAAGACCCGCTTACCTTTCCCATTTGTTCTGTCTGATGGGCGTCCCTGAAAGATCATTACTGGAGCTCTTATTGTTCTACACAATGATAGCTCTTGTTTGTTCTACAAAATGATGTGATCTTAATCTTTTGGTCTCTATGAAATGCTGGGACTCATCGTCATTTCTTGGCTGGTAGGGCTCCAGCGTCCTCAACTACAAAATGCTTGGCTACACCCCCAGCATTTGAGCTATCTTTTCACTTTAAAATGTCCTCGAAACAGCAAATTCGTAGTATAAAAATTCAATTTAGACATCTATTACGAATCAAGAGCCCATCAATTTATACAAAACCATGTTTCATTCCCACCATTTTGTAAACACCAACCTGTGTTCCGATGAATTGTGACTACAAAATTGGGGCCACATCGTCACATGAAATCTCAACCGGGATACTTGTGCCATATTGAACATGGCAGTCAAGTAATGTCAAGTATGCTGAAGCAGGCTCTGAGGTTTCAAGCTGGCAAATGTGATGTGCCGTTTCGGATCATTGGACTATCCGTGTGGGATCCCCAAACACCAGTGGTGGGGGTGGTGGTGACGAAGTGGACTGAGGATATTTGGAGCCGAATGAACGACGTCTCCACAGGTGATGCAGCTTGACTTTACGTCCCCATTCTGCTGTGAACGCAGGCATTCTCAACAACTGCTCAACAACTGTGCACACGACATGGTTTGCCTAATAATAAGCATGTTTGGAAGTGTAGAGGGGCTAACCTGGCGCGGAACGCTTGGATTCCACACGGAACAGCGCGTGGCGTCTGATCTGAGGAACCTGCGCCACGGCTGGAGGGCTTTGAGTTCGAAGCTCCAGCAGAGCGTGATTGTATGGGCTCCTTACGAGCGCCCATCGCCATTATGGCTCTTTGACGGCAGGTGCCGAATAGGCGACCCCCATCCAAGACACTGTTATGGGTCTAGATTTGGGGACCGCTACAGATTGAATCACACCTTGGACCTTTTGAAAGGCCCTGGCTCAGAGGGCGAACTTTGATGCGTTACGTTCAGTCAAGTCTGAACTGTGACGGCCCCAGGCTACCGAGGAGCTTGCAGCCGCTCGGTTATTTTTCATTCCATGAGCTCCGAAAGCTGCAGTTTTGATTCGTTTTGCTCCATAACTTTTTTTGTCAAAGCAAATATGGATAATATTCAATTTGCGTGAGGCCAATGACCAATTGCTTGAAACCATGGAGGAATTGTGGCTCGGCCGAATTTCTTGGGGCCAGGGACCAGGGAACCGGCAGAGAAAGGTCATTGTTTGAGGGATCTAATGTTGACTGACTGATGATGAGGGAATAAAACAGGCTCCATCCAGGTAGCCGGGTTTTGTTCATCTACAGCCGACATGTTCCTTGGCACTTCAGGACGCTCCGTAATTAGGTGTCCTTAGGTGTCAGAAGTTGAAACACATTGTTTTGATGCACACCAGCCCTTGGTAGGTTGGGCAGTCCGCTGCTGAATGGGCGGCCTGCATTGCAGCACAGAGATTGGAGTACTGCACCTTCCCTGAAGTTCGGAGCATTCTGCCCAACGGGGCCATCAGAGAAGACTGAAGGAAAGGATGGTGTGAACTAGTGCGAACTCTGCGTTTTTAGAGAACAATCATGAACACATCAAACTTCTTATACTACGGCAAATGCTTGTACAAAGCTGATTTGGTCATGCTTTCCCCATGTGCTCCCAAGAAATGAGATAGTAGATTATTCATGAAGATTATTGAAATTACATCCACATAGTAAAGATGGCAGTGGCTTAGTAGCAGTGCTGATAGTAGAGATTCTATCCAGTCCGGGAACTTTGACAACTATACAAATCACTTTGCGCCATAATTTTTTCCATCACCAGACCACCATGCCCCATGGTCTTAGTCTTGATAAGACCACTCAGTCTCTATGTTATCGTCGCCTGAATCAGGTCTTTGATGTGTCCCCAAGCTCCTGGGAGGAACTGCAGCAGCAACTCTACCGAATCCCGGCCGAATCCGGACTCCTCGCCGGCCGGATTTCGGAGACGCTTTATTTTGGGTCGAAAACAGCGACAATTTTGGGAACACCCTCTAGTTGGAAGGTGCCTCCGTTCACGTTTAGCACGCCCAGTTCATGTCTTTGAGGTTCAGTTGCCTGTGTTGTGCAGAGAACGCGGCGCTGAGGACTGGTAGAGCTGGCCATTTTCCACGCGGAGCCTTGCTCAGACTCCCAAGCCGAAGCAATTCAATGGATTTGCGGCACAGCTTCCACCGAAAAGTCCCCAAGCTACAGGTCGTCATACCAATGTATGCCATGTCGCATGATCTTGGCACGATTCAACCCCAGAACCCGACCCTTTGGCTGGGTCATCTGGACCATGGATGAATAGAACCACTACATATGTTGCTTACGTGTGTTTACCATCCAGGTAGGGGGTTTAAATGGGTTTTATGGTCTTGACTGATCTTTGAGGGTCCATAGAGTCACTCCTCAGGAGCGTGATCCCTACTACCAGCTGCTGCGGGATGCACCAGTACCACCCATGAGGCGGCGACGGAAGGCCAGGGTACACGCATGAAGAACGGCACATGGGGCAGATTGCAAACAACGGGGTGATCATGATTGGTGATTTTTTTGTTCTTTGGAGCTATGACGTCTCCAATCGCGTCTATAGGACGTAAGTCCTCATACTGCAAACTAGCAGACAATAAAGAAGACGATGCCAGCACCATGAACAACTCTACATAGGCCTAAGGGCTACAAGAGAGTGAAGCAAACTTGGAGGAGGGGTTGTGTAGTGCAGGGAGTCACTAAAGCATACAGAGAACCAAGACATTGTGACATGGCTGTGTTCGTCGAGGCGAAGCGGCCAGCCAAGCCATCGCCTCAGCGTTCAAGCTTGGTGGAGAGTTTTCACTTGTTTTTCGATCATTTCAGTGTTTGGTTCCCATGCCACTTGCCAAGGAAAGAGTCAACTGCCATTTCAGCTGCTGATCAGACAGCCTCTGCCGAGCAGAATCAGAAGGCCGAGTGCAGGGTTAATGCTAATGTAGAGTAATTAGCTACTATTGAGCACTTAACTCAATCCCGCATGCAATGTGCCAGAAAATCAGAAGGCCAACTTGATATTTACTACTTTGTGCACCGCTCACATTTATGGTCCCTCCAGCAGGGGTTGGGATGTTCAAGGCTTGAATATGGTGTGCCAGGTGAGCCAGAACACAGCTGCAACATCAATGAATGCGACTGCAGAAATGACAGAGGACCCCCAGCTGCCATTTTTTGCTCGAACATGTCCAACGGCTTTTTTCAGATTTGCAGTCACACCTGGCAGGATATGCATGTAGCATTCAGCACCACGCCCGCCCGCAAGACCAAAGGTTGAGCGTGATGATTTTATGACGCCAGGAGGACAACAAACTTGGTGATGAGGAAGGCCATCACTGTATGTTTTTGATCCATGGTGTTTTCAAGGGTTGGTTTTTGCGACTAGCTCACTCATGCTGGTCATGCAGTTGAGAGTGCCACATCGAATCGCAACCACCTTGAGCGTTTCTGGGGGATTCTGTCTTGCATGAGCGACTGGGACAGCGATGATTCAACTATCAGTAAACAAACGATCTATATAGTTCACAGTCACAGTATCATGAGTCATGATGAGTCATGAGGAATGAACTGATATGAACTGACCCTCTATGCAGCCTTTGGAAGCAAGCCTTACTAGGCTGTGTGACGACCTACAGGTGTGCAGCATGTGCAAGAAGAGAAGCAGGGAAGTCTGTGGACGAACACTTTGCATGTTGCAATCCTTCCGCCTCGGTCGTCAGGTGAGTCAGACAACCCTGATCAGGAGAATTTCTTTGGGGTCGGAGCCCTGCTGGCAGTGGAAACAACATCCAACACGATGGACAACTCGAGTTGTTTCTTAGTGTCAGTGTGTGTACTCATTTGCATGTTGGTTTTGAAGCCTGGTTTGGCCACATGGCCACATGTTTTTTTGTGCTGGTGCACTTTTCTCTCACCCCTACATTTCAGCTTGTGGCAACAGGAGATCGCTGAGGACTCATGTGACTCATGTGCTTTTGCATTTTAACTTTAGAGATGATCAGGTTGTGGGATAGTCGGATAGTACCGTATTGATTGTGCAGCTGCATGGCATACAAATCGCAAAGAACACCAGACAGACATTGCAACCGCAGGACGCGGCATGCCTGGAGCAGCCTGCGCAGCTCAGGCCATCAATCTGCGCGGTCTGCTAAACCGGTGGTCAATGGTTTTTCACTCAGACGGCCAAAAAGCTTATATCTTTTTCACACCCTTCGCTATAGAGAAAATGCACAGGCCAATGGCAGGCTCGGCTGAGATGGCCTGTAGGCCGAGGTGGTGGCCCTAGTGGCCGTTGAAGCCGGTTTCAGAAGAAAAGTGGCACAAACACACCTGGATGAACAGTTTCAGTTTCAGCTGTGCATTCACGTGCTTTGGCCAGATGCCTGATGTTGAAGCCTAGATCCCTAGATGCCTCAAGGGCCTTCACAAATGCTCGAACATGCGTCATTTGATGTTATTTGCATCGCACATCGCAAGAACACGGTCCAGACATTCAGATGAGGCTCCGCCTGAGCAGTGAAGAAGCTACCTGCTTTCGATGGTTGCCGGACATTTTCCAGGCGTTTTAAAAAATCAAAAAAGGGGCTTTGCCTGAAGATCCTTAAACATATCTATGATAGAACAACATACTTAGAGCCATTGGAAGTCAAGGACGCGTGGGGAAGGCTTTCCGGCTAATCGAAGTTTGAGAGGTGATAAGCATGAAGAAGTTTGCGTTTATTCATTCAACCCCAGGTCCTTGTTTGTTGGCTGCGTGGTGTGTCATTTCGCAGCATACTTATACTTGTGGCTTCCACAGATAATTCAATTTCTTGCATTCAGGACGGGAGTCACTTCCAACTCATGCAATATAGAGGCTTGGCAGACCTTTATTGCTCCTCCAACGGTGATGTTTTCCCAAATTCGGAGCACATGCTTCGAAACCAGCACTCCTAGGAAGTAGAGATGCTGCTGAAGCCAAGATTCCAGTTGCCAGAGCCTATGCATCTCAGATGCACAAAGACCGACCTTGCTTCTCAGCCAAAATGGAAAGTGTAGATCAACATCGATGACATTTGAATCAATTCTTACTTGGAACCTCATATGGAGGCACACTGAGACTTGAAGCCATGTGCCAGCATGAGTTTCCCTTCCCCCAACCTGGACGACGGACGTTCACTTCATGCACTGTCAAAGGTGCGCAATACCTTTGTGGAGGTGGAAGTTCTTGACGAGCATCTCACCGCAAGTTTACTTGGTGTGCCCGTGGGAAGCAGGTAGTGGACCGTGATCTGGCAGTTGTACACAAGTCTCGCACATGTCTAGAGTCTAGACTGGATTTCTGAGGCACGACGTCACACCAAAGCTGCGGCGAAGTGCATCTGAAACCTTCGAGATGACAAAGCAGTGATTCCACATTTTCTTGCAGGGTGACGCTAGCCACACAACCTGTACAGCTGCCAGCGCAGGTTCAGGATTGGCCGCTAGAGTAGCCAATTTTTGCACCTCCATGATGGCGATGAGCTGCTCGACTGAAGCAGCTTTGCTTTTCAGCTTGAGAGCTGTCCGACCAGCCAAGTACAATTTTCAATTGGTCTCCAAAGCTATACTACCAGTGTGAGGCACAGTGTGAGGGCCATCTTACAAAAGACTCAGACTCAGACCTTATCTACAGAACCTGAGCTTGACTCCTCAAAGGCAATGCTATTTGCTCAGGTTCTTCAACACTTTGAGTTGCCTTGCACGCCTAAAGTTTCGGCGACCGGTACACTCTGTACTCGCATTTTTCTTACGTGTGCTTTGCCTCAATCATCGGCGTTATATGAGCCGTTGGACAATGTCGCAATTGAAAAGGCTGCTTTGGCCAGGGCAACTGTTGCTTGCTCAATGATTGGGGCACTGCGACGTAAATGGATTGGACACAGAGCCAGCGTGATCACTCCCTCTCGCTCACTAAATTTAGTGTTGGCCGCCCGGAACACTTTTTTTTTTTCTGTTGGAAGTCCTTTGCGGCTTTCCTTCCCTTCCCTCATTCGCAGATGGCAATGTGTGCTCTCCAGAACTGTCACGACCCGGTGTGTGTTCCACCGGGAGGGCGTGTACGGGTCAGACCGTCCATGCAAATGTGATTGTACAGATCCATCGTTGGAGCGGCTCGGAACCAAAAAAAAATGAACGATTCCCGAGCCTGGCACCTCCGCGTCGTGGTCAGCTCGGGCAGACATGGTCGGCGTCTTCGTTTTCCTTTTTTTTTGCGGCTCGCGACCGTCTGACCAGGTTGGTCCCGTTGTGTAGTTTTGCGGGTATGCACCTTGTTTGCACGTTGCTATCGTGCAGCTTGGTGGCTGTCAACTGAGGTTGATCTGTGAGCAGTTGCATCCTGAGATATTGATAGATGATGACTAACTAGGCAGTGCATAGAACTTCCTGATCTATGACTCATGGCATTTGAGCTATCAATTAAGATCACAGGGCCGCGCTTGGGCACGTTTTTCTGGTTCCAAAATGAAAGAATGTTCTGGTGCGACAGTTGGACAAGATTGACAACTTGTGCTGTAGCTGTTTCGGCTAAAAAAGAGTCCAGCTGTTTGCCATGCACACGGCTGGAACATAGAGGCCGCTGTAGCCAAGAGCCGTGTCTGACAGTTCTGGATTGGGGGTCAGTGAAAGAACACCCGATGCTTGCTTTTGGTTGTACTTTGGCTTATTCCTGTGCAATTTTCTGAAGGGCTCATCGTACTTACTACTGAATCACTCACCAAATCACACTTTCGCCTCCAGTCGTGCATGCTCTTTTCTGGGGTGCCCGTGGACAGGCGCAGCCGCATGCTTCGGGGGCTCCTGCCCCTTCTTCTTTGGCGAACACTGGCGTTCCCCAACTGCAAGACATGTCATGCCAGTTAATAAGCTGCCGCCTTACTTTTGTTGCAAGCTGTTGGAATTGTAGCATATTGTAGCCAGTATTTGGCATAGCTAATAGTTAATAGCTCCTAAAACAGTTTCTTTTGTTTTTGCTTTCTTTTGGCGTGTCGCTCTTCTGCTTTGCTCCAGTTGTCCCATCGTTTGTCTCTTTCGCTCTTTTGCTATCATCCTGCAGCTATAAAGTCTGACGGTGGTGGGTAGTGCATTGTGCATTTCATGGCAGTTTGGGCTCAACAAGCATTATTTTCCAACTTTCTCCCAGTGGATTTAAAAGCCCAGGTCGCTCTAGACATCATCCTTGCCTTTTGTTAGTTACTTAATTCCTCCTTTTTCCTCTCATATAGTTGTGTAACGATGACCCGCCATGTTGCATCGCTGTTTCATTCTCGCCTGCGCCACCAGGGACTGGCTCGACGAGGGTTACAACATTCCCATAATCGATCCCAGCGCTGGCACTGGTACTCCACTTCATCGCTACTACGCACGGATCCCTAGTTTTGACAGTTTATCACCACTACACTTTGATTTCTTTAGCATTTGTGAGCAAGGGCGAAAAGTAGTGATGTCCGAGTCCTGCTAGTGGGGTGGGGAGAAGTGACTTACTTTTCAGTCCATGTTGAGAAAAGCGATGAAGGGCTTCCAACAATGCAGGTTGCATAGAAGTACGGCAGGTGAGCATTAAGTAAGCACGAACACCTAGCTGTGGCAAGACTGAGGTCCATGAGTCAGAACGAATTGCGACAGATGGACACAACGCCATTGACCAGCAAGCTGTCAACGTATCAGATCAGCGAGCTTGTATGGAAAGTTGCACTTCGGCTGCACAAACAACACGGATGCAAAGTACGCAATCTGACAGCTGCCAGCCGCCTTTGGTCTGCTTTGTGAAGCTGCGATATAAGTTGCTTTATTTGAATCTACTTTTCAGATATGTCATTTGTTTGCATTCATGATCTGAGGCGATCAGGACGGGCTGCACACTTTATGCCAAGCTGCTACGGCATGCTATGGCTACAGCTACGGCTGATGTACTGTAGGTTTTCTGAATGCTTTAGCCACATTTGAGTGTCGTGCAATGGGTTCCGATGTATTCAGTGCTGCAGGACACACGGTGCGATTGCGCGACCTTTTGGCCAAAGTTCAGGATGGACGCCGGAGCCATTTAGACAAAAGGCATTCAAGCTGAAGGATTGTATCATTTAGATGATTTGATTCAAATCGTTTGTTTAGATTGTTTGGGCAGTTTTTTTCGTGGCCCATGGCTGGGGCTACCGAAGTCCTTGACCCAGAACCCTGGAACAGTCAGCAGGTTGTCGTGTATTTTTGTCAAGGGCACGCTGGCCGTCAGGAGCTGTCAACGATGGATTGGTGCTGGCCTCAATGGGAGCCACAGTTAGATAGCTTCTGCACGTTGAGGGCATCAAGCACGTTGATCCTAAAGGCTGCTGTATAAGTTCAGACAGTCAACCATATTGCAGCTGATTGCAGCTGATGGACATGTTGAGGGGGCATCCCTGAAGAGAAGGTTGATTAGGGCATTTTGAGTGGGGCTCAACGGTTCACATGATGACTTTGGATGACTGGTGATGACTTCTTCCTATGGTATGGCTGGGTCACCTAGGTCCTCGTCCGACCATCGTGTTGGAAACACTTCCGGTCAGTCGGACGATGTCGGTGCTCGGAATCCCTTTTGGTGCTGTGCCTTCGGGGGGTCTACGCCCGTTCGGCGTCGATCGATCCAGTTCGGCCAGGCTGCCAAAGGCACTCCAACAACTTCGTCAAGGACAGGTCAACGTCCGCGTCCCAAGGGATCCATGGGTTCAGGCTGTTTCGAACTCGATTTGCATCGCTTCGAAATGCTTCAACTCGGTCTCGCCTGGCTTTCTCAGCAGTGGCTTGCTGCATAAGGAACACCCTTATGAAGGTGCCAAAGCTAACACCTGAGTACAAAGAGTCAGGTTCTCAGCGCTTTACATCGAGCGAACTGCCAGGTTAACTTATGTCATAGAGTCATGGTCCGTTAATTAGAGATTTGGTATTTTTTTGGCGGGGCAAGAGTTGCCACTCATGATGAGGTTCCGGCACTATGCTGGGCATTCTTTTGTGGAAGACCGAGGTGCGAAGTCATAAAGCAGTTTTGTGTGAGGGATCGAGCACTGAGCATGCGTGAGGGAGACACAGAGATAGAGAGAGAGAGAGAGACAAGCAGCCTGAAGTCAAAGCTGGGTTCAAGGTGGTGATCCTGCCATAGCCTCTTGCTTGCACATTCTGCCCATTGGTTGATGCTGACTCCTGACTTTCTCCATGAGAACTACCAATGTGGCTACCAGGTCACAAGGACAACAACTCCCAACTATCCCAGCTTCATTTTGTCCTCAGCCAAGGTCAATGGCTGGCAGGAATGCCAGGATCGATGTACGGTTGATCCAAGTTGTGAGTGCACTGTATGGGCGCTGGACGGTACATCAAGGCGCTGGGCGCTGGATGTTGGAGTATTGGTGAATCTATAGTGTCGTGCATTGACATAGCAAGTGTCTCAGCTTATTGATTTGTCCTCCATTGTGAAGACTTTGTAGGGTGAACATTAGATTCTAGATCAGCATGTCCCGTCGCTTACCGAGTGGTTGCATGTCACGTCGCTTACCGTGCCAGTCGTCATAACTAGTTCCGACTCACCTGGAATTGGAAGGTGTTGGAAGGAGAAAGGATGCCTAGAAGCCAATCTCAGGCTCCCTGGGGTGATTTCGGCATGCTCATGAAAGGCAGCAAGCACTACGTAAGATTGTTTGGCGGTGCCATGTGCCCTTGAAACCAAGTGGAAGTGGTAGGTCATTGACAGAGCGTTGGGAGCTGCGAGGTATGACCCAATCTACTCCACTTTCCTGAAAGACAAAGATGCTTTGGTGAGGGTGCAGACCACAACCACCGCAGCGGGGCTGAAGAACGCGCGCGCAGCGATGGAGTTCATGGGTTGAACATGGATTCACAGAGTTTGGAAGATCAGATGACAACGGCCATCAAGGGCTGCCTTGATTTGCTCAGCGGCAAGTTCTCACATATATGCCGGCTCATTTGTTACCCCGCACAAGCTTGGTGCTTTTTTGTAGGCTTGAAATTAGCAGCTTGACAAAGCATTTCTTTGATCTATGCCGGACCTATGCATTTGCAGTTGCGCTATGTCGCACACCTACGTCATAAGTGACTGGCTAGTAAGCAGTTAGAGGCGCACACACACGTCCACATATGTATAATTTGGGGTATGGCATGGTAGGTGTACAATTATAATTGTAATTGTTTATCGTAATTATTTCACGTTATATGGTGCACATTTATATATATATATACACATATATTACGTGTAGTTGTAATGTGCGAAACTGCATAGATAAATATTTAATGGCACCCACCCTTTTGCGCAGAACGTCTTTTGCGGAGCTGGTGCTTTAGCAAGTGTCGCTATGGAGCTGAGTGATTTTGCACATTCTGTCACGCTTCAGGAAGAGGAAAGGCGCTGGATTCCGGTGGTGGTCACGGATGAAGACACAACTAAGAAGGACTGGTTTTGGGAAATGGATCGATTGGACAAAGGGATAGGCCACAGTAATACATTACACTGGGGTCCTCTGGGGTCCTGCCGGCACTGTAAGAGTCGTAAAGGCTTTATCACGGCTTCTAGTGGAGACCGTACTGAGCATCATCCAATGTGATCCAACTCTGCATGTAAAGTGAACCATATCATGAATTCCACAGTCTCTCACCACCAATCTCCAAAGTCCGCGGAGGAGACAACTGAAAAGACCACGGCTGAGGTGACTTGATAGTTTCAAGCACTGAGGATTGTGATGACTGTGCACCATGAAGCTAGCATCCAGCAAAACGTCCTTGTGTTGCTTTAAATTTGCTTTGGCTGGAGCAGATTTGAAAACTAGAGTGCCAGCCAGCCGAGCGAATCACTTCTGGTTTCGACTTGGTCTTTTCTTTGGTGCGTCAGGTCACAACATCCACTGTATCGAGCACTGGTGAAACCACCTCGACTGGCAGTGAATCTAGCACAGCAACCACGACCACCACCACCACCACCACCACCACTACAACTTCTACAACGTCTACTACCACGACCACTGGAATGCCTCAAGCGCTGCTAGTATCCATGACCATGGTGATACCGCCACTGGCTTGCATATGTGCTGTTGGTCTGCCCGTTTGCAATTGACCGCTGATCAGATGCTCAACCGCCTCTAAGACTCTAAGATTTCCCAGAGATGAGCCAAGGTATCCAAGCGATGTGGACTCGGGTAATGATCAGTTTTTGCAGCACACGAAGCAGGCATTGGACTTCACAACATATCTGAGACCTTTTTCTACCATATTTTGCCCTTAGATTTGTTAGTTGTTTTCAACGTGCGGCCGGCAGTTCATTCAAGCTAGATGACCACCACGAGGGCTTTGATGGATTTCACAGCGCTCGTTGGCACAAGCTTCTACAGGGCAATGCGGCCCCTTTCACCTGAAGCCGTAGAGCAGTAGTTCATAGACAAGTGTCCAGACATTGCCTGACCACAACTCTTCACAGAGGCACACACGTAAGAAAAGACCAAGGAGGCTGTCTATACTTTCATTGCGGGAGTTCAGTGTGTAAGTACCACGCTCATCCTAATTGTTTTTTGGTAATCACTGATCACAGATGGCGGGCTGGCATCAGCCAGTACCTCAAGAGTAAAGCACGTGGGTTTTCATGATCCGCACCTAAAGGCCGGCATACTGGCAAACAAGCCCTAGGACCCTAGGATACAAGATGACACAATGACAATGAATGGCTGGTAGTTTACACATGTTTACAATAGACTCTTCGGAGAAGATGGGGAACAACTGAGCCATGGCCCCGAGCAGCTCTTCGGGCAGCCGAGCGAGTGAGAAGAGAAAGAAGAAGGCCGGTGGCCAGGGCAGTTCGCTCGCGTTTGGCCGGACACTTGGGAGGACGCGTTGAATTCGGCTTCGCGAAGGATTGCGATTTGAAGAAGCCCAGGATAAGAAGGAGAAAAAGGACAAGAAGAGTAAGAAAGAGAAAAAGGATAAGAAGGAGAAGCGCTCCAAGTTCCTGGGTGTCAATGTGCTTGCGGGAAGAAACACAACAACTTGTGATCGACAAGTTTTGTGCGTCTAACAGATTTGGACACCATCAGCTGACCAGCTATGCTCGTAAGGAAAGATGATGAGAAGGAAAAGTGCCTTGTTCCCATTCATGTTTGCTTTCTTGATTCAGCGCGAAGGCGTTCTCAACCAAAGAATCGAACATGTAGGAAGGAAATGGAAGGAAGGTGCACGGAAGATGTCCACGCTTTGGGGTCTTATATTGATTAGATTCTTCCAAGTCATCAGGAGCTTCCATGAAGACCCACATGACTGCGGTTTCTTTGTGGGAAAGCTTCCTGAAACGATTTGACTCACCCTCCTAGAGCCTGCGCTCGGGCCCAGTCCACCGGGTCCGCACTCGTGGACCTGCGCAGACTGAGGAAGCGGGCTGAGAGGGCGGAAACTTGGAACTGCGAGCGAGGTGATGCGGTCCGACAGACCCGCGGCGGAAAAAGAAACGGCTGACCCGCGGGGTCCGACCATCCGTTGATTTTGGGATTCGGAGAAATGAGGAAAAGGCGGTCTATGCCCTTTTTCTGTACGGCCAAAGGTATAGCAGCGGTGATAGGTAGACCCCGTTTGCCCTGCGATCCGATCGCGCTGGTGCGATCTTTGAGGATTGGTGCCCTGCTTCAGCTTGATGCGGCGGTGGAAGAGGAACTGGATGGGGTCTTTGAGGCCATGTGCGACACTGGGTGCGGTTCTGGATCATTCCATCGATGCTGTGCAGGCCATCGATGAGGGCGAAACGGTGCGGATTGACGGCCTTCAGAACAAGCAGGCGAAACGGGGTTGCAGCCGGCCAAGACGGCATGGATTGGCATGGCCTCTCTAGCTTCCCAGCGGCATAGGGGGACTGACAAGGGGTTCGAAGACTGCGAGCCTGCTTCGCCCATTCAAGCTGCACAAGAAACAAGACCAGGACAAGAACAAGATAGTTTTATAGAGAGAGGGAGCGGAGAATGGTTTGTTGCTGCGTCGAGGTGCACATGTTCGGGTTGTTTCACATTGTTTGACAAATTGTTGGATGTTGTTCGTTTGAGTGACGTTTGGAGATTGACAGGCGCGGAAGAAGCTGCGTCACTTATTGCAGGCTTTCCGTTTGACACAGGCTGGGCACGTGATGTTTTCATATTTGTTCAATAGTTGCACGGTTTTGGGGATGCAACGGGTTGGCCACTCGAAGCGAATAAATCCCACCGAAGAGGGGCAGAAGATAGCGGGACCGGATCCAAGGCCTCAGATGGCCCAAGGCCCCAGACGGACCATTTGGCACCAAGAAAGGCCACCTCCTGATGGGTTCTAAGTCCACATAGATCCACCAGACCAGTCGTTGGGTCAGGAAGAGAATGGCCAAGCCTACAGAAGCTGCGAGCTTAAAGTCTCCTTCAAGAGCATCTATCAAGAGTGCCTCATCAGGGCGAAGGAGCACTTCGTCGCGAAGCCCGTGGATGTGGAAGAGCCCGAGGAAGAAGAACCCGACCAAGCTGAACCGGAGGCTTTCGACCCCCGTGCTGGATACTCGGGTGAAGCGGAGGAAGCAGAAGCAGCTCCTCCAGCTGCACGAATTCGAGGGCCTCAACTGCCTGGAGCAACCGTGGGCGCATCTGAGTTGCACAGCGGTTCCGAATCAGATGGGGAAGCTGGACCTCGCGGGGAAGGTGAAGAAAGAGAAGGTGTGGATTTGAGATATGCGGATCCAGTGCAAAGTGGCAGGGAAGAATGGATGACGATGGCGCCTGAGAGCAACTTTCAATCAACCAATCTCGTGGAACGCTTTGCTATGTTGTCTCATAGGTGCACTGCTGCTTCATGAAAATCACCGTCGATCTTGCACGTATCATGCTAGTGTTGATTTCTATTGATGCGTCTTCACGTGGTGCCGGGTATGCCGGAGAGATCCGAGCAGATTCCTTTAGTGTTCGCCCATTGTCCAAGCACTGGCCAGCTTCTGTGGGGTCACCGGGTTTATATGGGGGTTCTCTCACCTTGAATTGCAAGAAGACCAGCTTGGGGGAGTGCGAAAGATATGAAGGTGTCTCCCTCTCTTTTTTTTTCCCTCTCTCTCTCTCTCCCACTTTTCGCATGTAAGTTGACACTGCGCGCCAGTTAATTGGTGAGGTGCCTCGTGAACAGCTCTCAGCTCGACGCATCATCTCTCGCATCCGATCCGTCGAAATCATGGAGACACTGTGAAAATAGCTGAAAATAGCAACGGAGATAACGGAGGGGGGTCAGTCGGATTAAAATTGATTGGCTGGCCTCAGAGGCATTCTTCCACAATAAGATCCAGACATATAAAGACTATTGTCGAAAAAAGGCCAACTGTGGAGCTAAGGTATGGCTGGGTTGTTCATGGATGGCAATGGGATGATCAGGAAGAAAAAGGCCGATGTCTTTGCCGTGAAGCGTAGCAAGGAGGACGGCTCGCCGACGCCGAGTCTCTTGAGTGCGCGAGCTGAGCACTCGAAACCTTGAAGTAAAGAATGAACTCAAAGCCATCCTCCGTGCAAGCACTGCGAAAGTGCTTTTATAGACAAACCCTAGGCGCACAAGAACGAAAGCAAGAAATAACAACAGTCGTTGCAAGTATACGCTTGCGAAAGACATTTTGTCATCGTAGGTCGCAGGAACGAATCTTGGTCAGGTTTTGAACGGAGAGCCATTTATTTGAGTTTTTTTTTTTTAAAGAGGTGTTTCTTTTTGTTTTTCGCGGCTTCTGGCTTTTGCGGCTTTTGGCTTTCGTGGCTTTCGTGGCTTCTGGATTCTGTGGCTTTTGGCTTTCTCTGGTCCGCTGGTCCTTTGGTCCGCCACTCCAGCTACTACCGCCTCGGAGCCTACGGACTGCTGCGGTAGTCAAGCACCCAGTGCCACACTTTCTCATTTTCTCTTGCCTGCACCTTCAATACTGGCACCTGCGCTTTACAAAATTCAACTTGGCGGCCAAGGTTTGCGTCACAACTACAATGGCGAAAACATGAAGGGTGTTTTGCATATAACAAAATACAACATTATTATATTAAGGTGTTCAAGGCTTTAGCTGTTTGTCTTGGGTGTTAATATGAACATGTCTAATGACACATGACCTGCCAAACCCCACAATGGTGGATGCTGAGGGCCACTTAAACCCCACCCAGCTTTCAACATAGCTTCTTTCCGCACTGTTCCATCCATTTGTCTATGTATCGTATATATATATAACATATATATATATATATCCGTCTACCTTATCTATCTAGATATCTAGCTATTTTGCTATCTATCTAGCTACCTATCTATCTATCTATCTATCTGTTGATCCTTCCATCCATCTATCCGTCTATCCATCCACCCATCTATCTATCCATCCATCCATCCATCCATCGATCGATCCATCCATCCATCCATCTCCCCATTTTTGTTTCTCTCTCTCTCTCTCTCTCTCTTTCACTATCTCTCTCTATCTATCTATCTCTCTCCCTCTCTCTATTTGCACTTCCAAGTTCACAAAATGCTGCACCTGCCACAAAATTTGCACTTCAAGGTCCACAAAGTGCTGCACTTGCCACGAATTTTGCACTTCAAGGTCCACAAAGTGGTGCACCTGCCACGACATCTGCACTTCAAGGTCCGCAAAGTACTGCACCTGCTACGAAAAACGAAAAACAGTCAACCCAAAAAATATTTCCACATTAAATCCGAGCCCTTATGCACCACTCAATTGATGCCACATTTTTGTGATTGCGAGATGGCGCAGTTCAAGGCAGAATGCACCTGTAGAGCACCTTTTCTGTGCGAAAGGCAGCAGAAACAGAATGGAAAGTATCAAAAAGCTACCGGACTATTCTATATAGCACTATAACAACATATTATGGTACATTGTGGTTGTGGAGATACGTGACGTGGACGCGGCTGATGCTGACAGGGGAGGACTGGGATTGGAAGCTAGCTCCACATGCACAAAAGCCGCAAAACCTCACAGCGATGTCATAGTGCCACATGATGTCATATAGTTTTTTTGGGAGGAGCAAGAAGCCTTCGAAAAGGCCTTCAAAGAACGTGGCCCATCTTTGCTGTCTCAGCAGCAGCAGGGCGCCTTTTCAGAGGCCAAGGAGGCACAAGATGCCCTGCGCAAGCGGAAGGTGCAGAAGCCAGAAGGGATCGAACATGTAGGGATGAACAGCATGGACGAACATGTGTTGAGTTTTTGACGACCTCAGAACACCATCCAACCTGTCCGGGTATTCTTTTGGAAGACCACTGGTTTGGTGAAGCTGCATGAAACTGCTGGAGGTTGGTCCCAGTGACGTTTGGGGCATGTCATCAAAGGAGCAAGCAACTTGGCAGAAATACCTGCAAAGATGTGGGACATTCTTTGATGTGACTGTTTCTTTTCTGCATGCACTACCCAGCTCATATGATTTATTTAGTGCTGTAGAGTTGCCACAAATATAGAGGTGTACATCCAGAGCTGGAACCGATTTCAACAGCATTGACAACCTTTCCGTGAAAAGGAACGGCAAGCAGTCGGTGCTCCTGCTGCTCCTACTCGTCGCAAGTCTTTTGACCCGGAGAAGGCGCTAAAAACGGAGCGACGTCGGGCCAGATGACGACCACGACGAAGTGGTTTGAATATATGGTGCTGTCAAAAGCTTCAAACCCAGGTTAGGGAGCTTTTCACATGCTAGTCACTCTGGTCAGCTGGGTGTTTTAAACTTCGAGGACTGTTTTGCATACAGCTTCTTAGGGAAAGCAGATTTCTGGCATGTTCTGGCTTTCCATCTCGCAGCAGCTTCTCCGCCAAAAAGCCGTGCATGCCGTGGATGGGTCATACCAGCCACAGTTGTCCACGCCATGGGCATCGCGGATATCCAGGTGACGAGGAAACCCGAAGCTCCCAGTGATGATCCCCTCCCCGATGCTCTGGAAGTGGACTGCCCAAGCGACCGCAAAAGGTCCAAGCGACAGCAAAAGGTGCAGCGTGCGCGCGAACAGCTGCAGCAGTTTCTCCAAATTCACGGCTTTTCCCACGTGAACGAGCCAAGGAGAACTTTCGGGTTTAGCCTTCGTAGAGAGGAGCTTTATCCAATCCATGTGGCAGCGAAGCTAGGGGACGACCAGATGATTCGCTTGCTGCTTTCAGCTGGTGCAAGTTTGGAGCAACAAACTTCCAATGGCCGCATTGCATTGGACTTTGCTGCTGATGCCGACCGATTTGGCTCTCATCGAGATGTGCTGGGACTGCTGAGAAGTGAAGTGAAGGTGCTCACAGTCCGCAACTTCATTTGGAGCAGGGAAGGCATGTGATGCAGGTTGGTCATTGCAGGCTACACGGCGGCGCAAGTGTTTAATGTTTTGTGGATGGCTGCTGCTTGTGTGCTTCGAATTCTTTAGTTTTAGGTGCAGAAATCTCCGCTACTCTGCCATATCGGTTCTAAGCTTTTGGACAGAGAGGTGGAGCAAATGTGTGCCTTTGATCCTTTCCTCGTTGAAAGCCCGGCTTAAATAGCTGCTGGGCAATGCAACAAAAGGCAGGGGCTTGTCATTCCCGCCGTCATTTTCGCATTGGCTCTGCGTCTGATGATTCAGATGCGGGGAAGGCTCATGACTTTTCGCACGCTCAACCGTGCTCATTGGGTCGAGTCCAGCTGCACCTCTCAGCACAGCAAAATGATGGGCATGTTTGTACTTGATAGACACTGTAGTAACTATAATATAGATTACTAGTCACCAGTATGCTACTAGCATCATCTAGCATCTACCATCTCAGTGCTGGATTTCTACATCCTCTCGTCTCGCATCCCGAAAAGCGTCGTTCATGTTCATCACCGTTGGTCTCTTCCACCAGGATTTGGTGACCACCAAGCCGATGACCTCCGATGAGTTTACCAAGCTGGTGGAAAATTCCCAGAGTGGCCTCACTGGACGTCCCTGGGTTGGGCACTGGGAGGTCGACGGGCGGTGAAGAAGTCTGGGACAAGACACGACCCCGCAGAATGAGGCAAACTTGAGGACGGAGTATTTTTAGGCCGCTATGACAAGTCCCTTTTCTGAAACAATGGCTGGGCACAACACGAGTCCGTGAGGTAAACAAGCTTGTGACGTTGGCTGGGAAAAGCCGGTGATTCTGTAGCAGCTGTAGCATGACGATTGCATGAGCACTGCGAGTCACAATAGCGTCCTTGTTCCTAGTAGCGATGGCCTCCACCTAGTAGTGTCCTAGTAGCTCAAAGTTTGGGCGAGTCATCCTTTTGGCTCTCTGAGGCTTTAGTCGCGGTGGTGTTTCGTCCTCATTTCTGTGATCAGACGCTGAGAACCGCCAAAAAAGATGGCGGCTGTGTTTTGCATCAGAAGCTCTCGGACAAGCTGTGGTTACATTTGATGTGATATGTTTTTTTTCTTTGCATTTATCATTGTCATGCACTTGCACATCTCATTGAAGTATTGAAGCTGCAACCTCCATGTAACAGTGTAGCAATAGTATCACAATGTATCATGACATGCATTTGCGGAAGAAATGAATGACTTGACCTGCTTCTGTGCCAGGCCCAGGTGGTTCAGGGGCTGAGTGCGGAAATGGAGGCTGACTGAGCTTGCAAGATTAAGACTGTGTTCAAGCGGCTCAAGGGCTTTTGTGCGGTAAGACTGCAGAATATCTCAGATGCATTTGATTTCGACAGGAGGAGCCTGTAAGATTGTCCTTCCGACAATCTTTGGCATCGTCGATGAACGTCAAGGAGCTCGTAACAACTCGAGACCTGCTGAAGTTGACACAGATGCTCACATGTTTGGAGGAAGATGGGGAAGAATCACAATACTACAACAAAACGGTCATTTCGGATACTATCCTCTTTTGGATTCTTTTGGGCTTTTGATTTGTTCTAATTATGTCCCAATATGTTGCACGGAGTAGTACGTGACAGAGACCCCGACCTGACAACGCGCACGGAGAACAGTGTTTAGGCCCGTTTAGGCCGTGACTAAGTTAAAAAAGGCATGCGACAGTCTACTGAACGGGCGCCAACTACTGATTGGACAAGAGGGCGCAGGAACATGGGAGGAATTTGTGTTTGCATCTATGAACAGGATATGCAGCAATGTGTATAATTAGCAAGTGTGTGCAAATATCATACAGGAGACCCAGGACACCGTGCAGGGTTGACCCTTTGTAACTTAGGCGAAGCAGTCATGCCTTTACACCGGACCTGCCATGAGGTTCATACAGAAGATCCGTTTCAAGACGTTCACACAGCTTTAAATAGGACGTGTTATGTCGAGATTTAGATGGTTGCTGAGCAGCCTTTGATTAGTCCAATGACCGTCATCGGCCGGCTTGGATAGTCATTTGATGTGCATCATGTCCATACATGCCACATGTATGCGTGCCCAACAACTTCATTGTAGAATGTGTTCCGCAGTGGTAGCTTCGCGGTGTGGGCGTTTTGAAGAGCAGGACTTGATTGACTGAAGAACCAAGAAGAACCGATCGACTTGGATTGCGGCCAGTGTGTTCGGCTCACAGGAGAATGACGTACGGTTTGACTCCTCCGGAATCAGACCGCAGGTGGCAGCATGTTTGCTGTTGTGCTTTGTCGTTCTTTGTCCAGAACTCCACACTCCCGATGTCTCCTTGAGGCAGACCGCACCATGCAACTGCTGATCAAGGCAAAGGCGGGACCAGTTTCACATGGTGTGGCATGAACCCCGGGTGGTTTGAACCCTGAAATCTACATGCAGTAGCACTCAGATTCGACACTTCAATTCTGCGTGACAAGCCATGCTCCTGGATGAGGTGACCACCATGGCATTGTCCGTCGATGGGTACTTGGACTTGCGCCAGCGGTTTTGCCCTTTTGCACCTGAAAAGCCCTCGAAGCCTGCCTTGAATTTGAGTTGTGGGCGTGGGAGCATGTGGGAGCTATTCAGCACATTGACTTCGAGTTTGCAGAACTCAGTGTTGCCTCTTCCAGCACCCGTACCCATGTCAGGATTGCAGAGATGAGGAGATTTTTGCAGAGCTGGAGATCATCCCTCCAGCGTAAAGCAACTTTGCCAGAGAGGTGGGGCTCGTGGGGTTCGGCACATCGAGAGGGTCGGCAGCGCAAAACCTGTCAGAGACCCGAACTCGGCTCCAGGCAAGGCTTGGGCACTGTGCTGGAGAATGCGCAGACCCAGGCTGCCTCGGTGACCTGTTGCTTGGCACCTTTTTGGCGGTTTCAAGATGTTGAAACAGATCCTGGGCGGATCTTCCTGGGCCCATCACTTTGGCATCCCTGATGGGGGCGCTGCGCTACACGTCCCCACCGCAGCGTCTGAGGCTCCAAGACCGAGCCGCCGAGCTTCGATTTGCCGCCGAGCTGAAACGGAAGCGACCGAGAGTCCACCCTGGCCCGTCGTGGCACCACCGGTCATGCCAACATGAAATGAGGTGACAAGTGAATCTTTCGGGAAAAAACCATCTGATGATATAACTGGTCCATTCAATGTGTAAAAGTTCTTAATTCACTTATTCCATGTCTTTTGCTGGCGGCTTCCTTGTGCTCCAATGCCTCTCCCAATCTGAGGGGCGCAACCTTGCGAAGTGGTGTAACTTCCGTCTTTGACTGGGTGCCCTCCGTCTCAGAGTGGCTGAGCCTCGGCCGCACAGCTTTGCAGTTGTTGATCCCCTCTCAGAGTCCCGCCATGTCCCGCCTCCCTTTTCAATTAGCCGCCTCTCTCAGATCGGTGAATTCGATCTCGGAGAGACATGAAACCCTGTGAGACCGGTGGATGCCCTACACATCCCTACACTATCTAAAGCACAGCACATCTGGAGTTCATTGCGTGTGGAAAATGGCGAGCTTCGTAGCCTTCTACCATCTCCTACCTACCCGAACTTGAGAGGGCCATTCACGTCAAGTGACTCCAGGCCACGCAAAATCCAAAGTTACTGTAGGTCAGAGTGAACCAATGACAGTTCATGTAAATCATAGCATCATGTGGCGATATTGCGCCTGCTAAAGGGCTGTATATAAGTTATGTATAAGTGCCGCAGTTAGGATGACAAACACAGGCCAAGGCGGCCAAGGCCTCAAAGAAACTTAGACCCAAAAGGGAAGTCGTAGCTCAAGTGCGGGGATCAATCGTGCGGCCAAGACCAAGGCAGCGTAGGTGTTGCTTGTTCATTGTTCCAGCAACTGATACTTATCAGTCAAGGGATCAAACCACCAGCGCTGGAAGTTCCAAGCCAATCAAAGAGCTAAGGCATCACCATTCACGGGTGCTTTTCTTCCTGGCTTTACTGCTGCTTTTGCTGCTGCTCATCTGGGCCGCAATGGTTTATGGCCCCAGGCCTGTTGCTTGTGATTGCCCTTTAGCCTTCGTCCCTAAAGAATCCCCAGAATTGATATGACTCAGACCTGTTCAGGGTTGTCTCCCGTCCTGCAAGTTAAAGGGGTAGATGATCCCACAGTTGGTATATGTTGGATTATGTTGGTATGCCGCTTTCCCCCTGCTCTGTTACCTGGGAACATATGGTAACACCAGTCCAGCTGCTTCCCCTTGCAGGGGCTATCAAAAACTGACTGGCCCTGATCAGCGCACTTTTCGCCGGACTCTTGCTCAGCGCTTGGGGCCTAGGCACAGCGGCTTACGTTGAGAGTTTGACTCCAGGTGCTTTTGTCTCACAGTCGGAAAGCCCCGAAGCCAAGCATGCATGCTTTCAATTTTCTTCGCTGGTGCTAGACCGTGCTGTTTTGATACAATTTGAGGGCACACACTTGCCCTTTCAGAACTTGGACCTTGATGGACCTTGGATGTTTGAGTTCTCCATCTCCAAGGCTTTGAATCACGATCAGCTCGCATAGAAAGAGTCAAGTCTCGTGTCGAGCACCTTTACTGCACTGGCTTGGCTGATGAGACATGGACATGTTTTCCTTCTGTGTTTAGTGCAAGTTGAACTGGAGAAAGAGCAAAAGAAGCTCCCAGTGCTTTTCTTTTATATGTTTCGTGGACTCATTCCAAAGAATGAGTGGAACTTTGCTTTTTGATGTGTCTTTTGTTGCCTCTTGAATACTGAAGTAATTTCAGTTTGGTGGCCACCGGCTTTCGACCGTTCTTTGATCTCATCAGCTTGTTGGTTGGGTTTGTTTTCTTTATAGTGATATAATATACTGTACACAGTTTTTCAGTCATGGAGTCATGGACTAGTCTCAGTAATCATACACACTAGGTGTGTAGATGTGTGTGTGTGTGATCTGAATCCTTTCCTGTGTGGTGCCACCCTATGAATGGATACACGAGGAAATACGCGGGGCGCACCTTCGAGATGGTGATGGCTGCTGAGCCTGACTACGAGGCTGGTCAGATGCATTTGGGTAGAAACTTCAGAAGCTGGGCTGCTGGAGATGGGTGGTAGGACCTTGCGGCGACGACCAAACGCCGTTTAGGACACTGAGTTGCAGTACTACGTGAAGGTTCTGAACCGTTGCAAGGGCCACGCCAAGGCCAGGGCATGAAAGTACAGTCAAGATTCGGAGAGCAGATGGGCCACTGTGGTGGTCTTCCAGCGTGGGCCAGTCCAAACCACATCCCAATGATGGGCAGACAAAGGTCACAGTGACTCATAATGTAGACTCTTGATTGATCACCCCCCAAATAACAAGGGGGTGTTTGTGACTGACCTTTGTGGATTCAGTGAGCGTCCCCTATTGAAGAGGTTTTTGATCCATGTCTGGGGTGAGTTTCATGAATTCGAGAATCATTCAGACCACGTCAGATGGCCCCGAGGTCCTTTGCGGCTCACCCTGGGGTCCATTTCATACTCCTGGCGATTGTGAGCTTTGCAAGCGACGCCACTTGGATTTCAACATTCCGATGCGATGCGCTCTCGTTCTTCATCCGATGGATTTTGTGATCGGAAGAAGGTGTTGGATTTTGAAAGTTCTGGAACTGAGCAGTTTTGTTTCCTTGAGGTGTCTGAGGATAATCAAATTCTGCACATCTGTACATCCACAATCATCCACACACACTTTTGGTGCTCCAGAGATTCTCATGTAATCAATTAAGACAAGAGTTGCCATGGAGTCCGTGGAAGCTAAGGTATAGATTGCGCAGAAAAGGGCTGCCAGTGCGCGCAGGGAGGGCACCGTTTGTGCTGGAATTGCATGCACCACGCCTGCATTGACGGCGGGTTATCACTGCACCAACTAGTTCATTTGTGCCCTGTGTAGTCAAACAGAGACGACACGTGTGGGAGATTAGTCACCTTCTGGCCCAGGGTGACCATCATCAATTGGGAGCTGCTGCGCCGCAATGGATGGGTGTCAGAGCTTTCTTTCTTTACAGTCGAAGCCGCCCAAACAGTATATATATATATATTTGTATGCATGGAAAGAGTGGAGCACTAACAGGCCCAACAGTCACCTTGGTGGCCAAGGTCATTATCTTCACAAGAAGGGCAACATTCATGGACCTGGTCAATAAAAGATTGGCGTCTCGACGCACCAAATACCGCCGAAGAGCGCGCCGACCGGTCCGGAATGGTCCGGACCGTCTGACAAGGAGCCAAGAGGCGCATGGGAGACATCCATGTGCACTGTCCTGCTTTCAGCGCGAGCTCAGGCTATAACAACAGCTTTGCAGGCCGGAGGGGCTCCACCAATCAGTTCCGGCCTAGCATGACGAATCCACCGTTCAGACTCTTCAGGTAGAACACCCATGAGTCGCTTGTGAGTCCTTCCCGACCTGAACTGCCTGGCTCTTGGCCCAAGTGATTGCGCCAGGCTGACTCTCCATTTTTCGCCCTGACCCAATGCATCGAATTGGTGAATTCCTCGACTTTTGAGCCATCAAAAACTGCAAAGACTTAAGGAAGCCCCATGAACACATATACATTCGACCTTTGTGTTTGAATTTGTTGACTCCACCAGGTAGTCGAATGTCAAAAAAAGGCTGGGATAACGTGCCCGCTAGCTCCAAAGTGGCTAGCAAGGTTTCTGAGCTTCAATCTGAAGGTTCAGGTGCAGATTTGCCAGAATTGTGGGGCTGCCAGCTAGGGCTGTAGGCTACAACTATAACCTTCAACGGAATAGAATGTGGACCACCCGGAAACCCCTCCTTATGCCAGGGACACTGAACGGTCACCAGTTTTGCACACACTTGAAGCTCTTGGACGTCTCACCCACAAGTATGTCTTGGCAGACGAACGCCCCTTCAGATGTCCTGATGAGTATGCCACATGTTTTCCGGCTGTTTGATACACCTGTACGTCGGTCTGCCAGTGATCGCCAGCGACATGCACAGTTGTTGTTGTGTCACCTTTTTTTGTGACCAAAGTCGTGCACATGAATGCTGCCTAGAACAGCTTTGCACCCTAGACCCGGCATGAATGGCAAAAAATGACAGAAACCGAGCGTCGCATCTACGCCACGACCATGGGCAGACAACCGGCGGAAGTTGCCCAAACAACATCCTGGACTTGTCACTTCGAAAGCCGAACACGGTCTCGGTGACATGGGCGGTGAGTGTCCTCACAGATCCCCCTGCTGACCAAGGTCTTCACAAGCGGCCCTGCAAAAGGCGTCAGACGGTAGTGACAGCATGATAAAAGCAAGAGTTGGCAGATACTGCCTACTGCCTATTCAGCCTATTCATTGCTGTATGTAAATGGACCAGAATGCAAGTCAAAAATGGGTTGGCTTTGTTTCCAACGAGTAAACGATACACGCCATGAGTAGATGCTTCTTTTGTTCAATGGCCTATGTCTCTTGTTCATGGCTCGTTTTATTCAATTTATTTGGAAGATTTCTGGTGGGACCAGCCCTTGCAAGATCTCGTCAAATCACCATCTTTGAAAGGGAAGCATACCGGTTCACAGCCTGGGGTTGGCCGACCTATACTATATATTTACCTATTGATGAATGTGCCGTTATGGCCGCTGTGGCCTCGGGCGAGCTTTTTGACTTGGGCTGCCTGGCGGCACTGCCGCAGCTGCTGCAGACACTTGGTTGAGCTGGAGTTATTGATGGAAGACGGTATAGGAAACACACTCGCAACACACAACGCATAACACACACACCACACGCACACACACACAACACATGATACAAACTGTTTTGGGAGATCCAGGTGGTGCAGCATTTCTCCAGCATTCGAAGCTCTTTGTATCCTTTTGGCCTTTCTCTTGAGGTGGTTTAACTTTACACATTGTTTGAAACCCCCGGCTTCGACCTCGTGGAAGACTTGCCCCCCCCGTCGAAGGACCGCCTTTGAGCTCGCTCACCTGGGCTGTTGCTCACGCCTGCTCTGGGGCCTTTGCTCAGCAGAGCTCCAGCGAAGATCACGAGAGGCGCCGGCCGCGCATCGTTTCGGAGGCGCCGGCCGCGCATGGTGAGCGATTGGTGGGTTCGGTGTGAGCCGATCGGTGAGTTCCGATGAGGTGTAAGTCCGGACAATCGAAGAAGGATATTCTTAGTAACTTCTGAGTCACAGTGATGGGTGGCTTCTACAAACCAGCATATGCAAGTGCAGCATTGCAAGAGAAAGATTATGAAACATTTCCCCAAAGGTGTTTGTCCTAGCACCCGAGACATTGTTTTGGGAAGGATCTAGATTTTAGATTCATCATCAGGTTTACCCGTAGAACATGGTCGTGAGATGCTTCTGCCAGTCCATCCACGTTGCGTGGGGTGATGACGTGGGTGACTCCCAGTGCCTTAGTTGCAGAAGCTGCAAATCATGATGGTGTCCGTGGTGTGTGGCTGTCAGCATTCGAGTCCCAGTCCTTTCCTTTGCGCGTTTTTAATAGTGCATCTCGTTTGATACAGCTTATGCATTGTGTATCATTGCGTCAGTTGACCTCAGCTTCCAAGACAAGCCACAGTGAATGGCTGGAAAGAACATGCAAGTGGCTCAGACAAGTGGCGGAAAATCATCAGACAAGTGGCTCCTTAGCACCACTGTATGTGAATACGGCTTCAAACCACGACACATGTTAAGCTATTCAGCATTGCTTCTACATGACCTTGGCCATTGGAGCACTTGAAACGGGAGCGACGAACATGGGGCAGCGCCATGTCGTGGAGGCTTCTTGCCGAGGAGTGCCGAAGAGCTGAAGTCAATGCCTTGGAGACCAATCTGCAAACCGATTGACCGCACACCCGAATCTGGATGCCCCCATCATGGCCTCCAGGGTTTGGGGCCACACATACCACGAACATGGGTTAGGCCGTCCCAAAGAGCTACACTTGGGGTTGGTTTGATCATGATATACCGTTGGGGATCCGGCTGTTCAGTTCATGTAATATCATGCAACGTGGACCACCGGAAAGCAAATCCCCTACGAAAGGTGGGGCATGGTGGGGCCATGATCGAATGTCATTATATATATATATATATTTTTTTTTTCATGTATGTTCGTCTAAGACCCTCAATGGAACTGCCCAGCAGCATTCTTAGTTCTACCTCCTGTGGCGAAGCTTGCCCCTTGAAAGCCAGCCTGCACCTCTTCGTCAAGCATTGCCTTGGAGTCTGCGTTGGAGCTAGATAGATATCATTCTTTTTAGAGGGGTTTTCACTGGAAGTCATATTGGACGATATATCTGGCATGGCATGTACCTTTTCGGGTCGCCCAGAAACCATTTTCATCCATTTTCTAAACATGCTTGGACTCCCAGCATTTTTACTCAGGAATGGAAGCTCCGAGAGACTCGGCGCCGGCATATTGATGAGCTGGCACGCTTGAGTGAAAGCTCATCCGGACGGGGAAGTCAATGGACCTTGGTCGGCACGGTCGGCGCCGGCACGGCATCTTCTTGTGGCAGCATTTACGAAATCTCGCCCGAATTTCGTGGTGGTGGAGCTGGTAGCATCTTGGATTCAAATCGAATTTGGGATTCAAGCCACGAAGTGAATGGGCCAGTTCTCGTGAGCTGCAGAAGAGATTGCGGTGCTCACCGGATACGTCTCTGGGTGGAGGATCGGGCGACCATGGGAAGTGCCAGGGTTCATGCCTTAGACGAGGCAACTGGTGCAAAGATGTACCGAGATATCCCTGATGCTGCCCTCTCTCGCTTGCTTGCAGCTTTCAAGCGTGCCCCCAGCTGTGACCCAGATGATGTTGATGACTTCTTACATGCAATGCTGGCCGCATGCAGGATAAGGATGTTTCCAGGTGGGATTGATGTGATTTTGCCCTCAGAGGAAGATTTGCAGCCTGCAGCAAAACCAGCTCCTTTGAATTTGCGTGTGATGCAGCACATCTCTGCGATGGCTACGGGGCGAAGGCCAATCAGCTCACAGCAGCCAAGCAGCCCAAGCAGCCCTGTGAAGGTTCCTTTTACCAAATCGACGCCTTGCGTCGCTGTTGTCCCTCCATTTGGAGTTGCCCCGGTGATGCCTGTAGCAGCCGCACATGCACCGGCCGGTCACCGGCACACCGTGATGCAGTCCCGGCCTCCGCGACCATCGAAGCCACCGGGCCGTCCACCAGCGACGCCACGAAGAGCCTCCGTGCGTCGGGTACGACCCCAAAGTGCTCCACATACAGGACGAACGGAGGAGCCCAGGAGCTCTGAGGCGATGGAAGCCAAAGCCAAAGCCGATAGCCATGGCATTCCAATGCCTCAAGGAGCCTCCCTGGGATTTCGAGGTCGGAGGGCACGACCCACTTCAGCCAAAGCACTGAAGCACCGACGTGTGGTGGATGATAGTGTTGACAGCATTATTTATGAGGATGATGAGGAAGAGCAGGAGGAAATGAAGTGGCCAAGCTATGCAGGTGGCTGTGAGACTCAACCGAGTGGTGAGACCTCAGCACAAGATGATGAGCCGCATGGCGTCCTGCATGGCATCGAGGCTCGAAACGAGGAATCTCCAGGTGTCCGACAAACTCCTTCCGTCGCTCCTTGCCTTGCACCATGCCTTTCTCCTCCACTGACGGGACTGACGGGCAAACTTCCTGCACGTGAGCCTGACCAGCTCGTGGAGCCGAGCATGGGTGCCTGGGCCGAGCATAGGACTTCCAGCTGTTTGGGGACCCCGTCCTACATGTACAGTAATTACTTTTGGAATCCTTTGGAGAGAGCATTGCGCTCACACACGCGGAACACCCAAGAAGAATGACCACTCAATGTAATACCGTACCCTGTACAATGTCCAAACGAAGCTTTGACCACGGCTTTTGCCCCCCTTCTCAGTGCAGTGAGAGCACACAATGGCATTGAAATTGCATGCAGATGAGGTACGGGAACTCCAAGTCATAAGCAATTGGTAGTATGAATGGGCAATCGATGTAGAAAGCCGCTGTGGTCGGGCTAGCCCATAGACCGTTATAGACCATCTGAAATAAGTCAAATCAAGACTCTGACTCCCTGGTTATTGGTTGTTTTTTTGGGATTTTGGTTGGCCTCCAATGCGCAATTTCAAAAAGATACTTTGGCATTTAGAGGTCGAGCTTCTTACAGGAGTGTGTCCTTAAAGCTTTAAAGCTGCAGAGCCGCACAAAAGCACACTTGGGTTGGGCGGAACAACCACATGTGCAGGTCAGGGGGGGTTGAACCCCTGCTTTCAGACTAAGATGACTAAGCAAGATGCTCAAAACCTAGCGACTGTTGCCCCATCATTGAGGTGACTTTGGCGCGAAGCAATCTGAGCCCGATCTCAATCCCACTGAGATGGCTCCATCGCTTTGTGATTCTGAAGCTTCGGATTTGCCAGAGAACCAAGCAGAGGATGGCCCTGTGCACATGTTCGTCCCCAACTTGCACATTGAGGATTTCACGGCGTTAGGCGCTTTGAAGCCTCCTTTGGGTGCTTTAGAGCCTCGAAACGGTCGACCGTCTACACCACCTCCACGGCCAGAAAAGTCCAATGTCTCATAGTTAGGGAATGCGCACACTCGGGATGTCCGAATGAGAATGTGAGATAGAATGAACAATATCACTATGCCTGCGTAATGGTTGCAAGTGATTGTGCCTGCTGTGTGCGCATGATGAATCGCCAACCACTTTTTGGCGTTGTTTCACTCTTTTGTGCCAGGTGGCTTAGAACATCGGTCGCCTGGCCTCTCACCCGATGGTTCTCAGGTCCAACATTGCCCATGGGTCCGACTGATACCGACTGGTGTTGTGGTTAGCCAGGGAGCTGAGAAAGTCAGAATGCCTTGCCACTAGCGTAGCTACTAGCGTAGCTGCCAAAAACAGTGCAGACAAAAGATGCGGCCGTGGCAAAGCTTAGATGGCACAAGTTGGAGAAGCCTTTTAAAGTACTGATAGATAATATAATATTATACGATATGATGTCCAAGGTTCTTCTGACATCATTATGTCCAAGGTCTTATATCATAGTATTTAGAAGCTGATGTCCATTCTCTTCGCATCTCCCCAACTCTCATAAGCTCACAGGTTCTCCTGGTGACTAGGGTAACTTGACGTGTCTTCACGCATGGCCCTTCTAACAGTTAAGGACGGGATCAGCTGGTCTGAAGTCTCTCCTACAATCGGAGCCCTGACTGAAGGTTGCAGGTTGCGGTCTGGGGATTGTTTGCGTGGACTGAGGCACTCATTCTTTGGTTTGGATGTCATGTTGTTGGTGGTTGGACTCAGGCTGGACCTGCAGAACGCTGGTCCAGGAGTATCACATTGATATGACATGTGTTCTACTCCGTGTCACGTTGTTCCAAGGACCTCCTTGCATTGGCAGCTCATTATGCAGGGGGTTGGTCTGCTTTGCTGGCGGGGCGGCATGGGCTGTTGGATACATCTTTGCCAAAGGCAGGCCAGCGGACACGGCTGCACGGGCAGTGGCCGCTTCAACGTGCATAATGCTTCAAGGTACTCATGCAGTTAAAATCAATGTTCACATATAGCCTAGCTGCATCGCCGATATATATAATCTAATCTACTAGGTGCCCTTGCTCCTGGCCAGCGGCGGCCGTTTTCCGCGCAGGTCGGAAGACAGGCTGGAACTTCAGACACTGGGCGCAATGGTTGAATCGGCGGTGGGGTCGTGGCAACATGTGGCACCCTGGTCAACCCTGTCGTTCACCAAAATGGCTATTCCATGGAGGCTTATATATCCATGGCTCCAGAGGTTTCGACGGACATATATTAACCCCCACCCAAAAGCACGTACTCCACTCATCTCCACTCCCAAACACACCCCAATCCTCGAAGCAGGGAACATGAGTGCCCTGACCCAGGCCGCTGTGCACCGGTCGCTTCTCCTGTGGGATATCGTGAGAGAAGGCCGCTCGGTGGAAGGTCTTCGTGACTTAAACCGGGCTCAACGTTTGAAAGTATGGGATGGGAGAGGTGGTCTTTTTGTCTTCAATACATAGTTTTCGATAATATTCAAAACTACTATATATTATATATATAGTGATTATATAGTGAAGTAATCTAAAGTCAAAGCTGTCACAAAAAGTATACATATATAGACAAACGCATAATTGGTATCTGAGGTGACTGAGGCTTTCCCCACTCTTCAAAGTCTCAACCTAAAGTTTTTTGATGATTGGAAGGAGCCAGAGGTTGCAACGAACAGTAGGAGGTTTAATTCATTGCAGGGATTCATTGAATGTCCGAGTTTCAATTGTTTGTGTTGTTGGTTGCCATTCTTGTGGAAATTTGTTTTCAACATTTTGAGGGACCTTTGGGATTTCTGGGTGCAAGATCAGCACCAACGGCAAACTGCGCTATCAACTAGACTGGTTTAGGGTTCCAGAAGGACGAGCTCAGAGACACAGTGGCATGCTGCAAGAAAAGCCAAACCAGAAGCATCCAGAAGCAAAACTGGATTCTTAGACATTTACACGAGAATAGAATAGAACAAATGGTCGAAATGAAATGGCACGCACTGTCAGATGACAGAGTCTGCACAACACGACAAAGAAGATGTAGAAACAACAAAGATGGCCGCTGTGGGACTTTACATCGTTGCGGTCACCGGGTCCAAGAGGTTGGCAGCGACAGGTGATGGCACGCTGTGGACGGGAATTCTTCCACTGGCTGTGTTCTTGCGACGCAGTGCCTTTGAGGCCTGGAAAGTGGATGGACTAAAGGGACATGTTTCAGCACTAGTTGGCGTAGAGTCCCCAATTGAGCAGACAGAATGGTTTCGATTGGACTTCAGCACTAGCAGGCATGTCAACCTACAAGCTATTGGGACTGGACAAGATTCCATGGAGCACAGAGGCTGTCAAAGGTCTTGCAGAATGTGCAGCTGGCGGCCAGCGTAGACTTGGAAAACCATTGATGCAGATTGGTTCATATTGGGCCATGAAGGACCATGGTGCACGAAAGGGTGGGGTGAAACTGTCGGCCAAGTGAGGATTCGGATGGGGAGAGCGTCCCATGCACCTACATCTATCCGCAAAGCGTCCACTTTCCGGGATCCAATCACACTTTTGAACACAAAGCTGGACGTCAACGGCATCCCAAGTTCCAGACTCGTGGCAGCAACCATATTGGGACGATGTGATGAAGGTTGGCACTCGCATTTGGGGGTTTGGTTGATGGCCGGGGCGTGTTTTATATAGTAGGCTACTAGGCCTGTCAAGAGGAGGCGCATGTTTGGTTTTTGCAATTGTGGTGTGGTCGAGGCAGCCATCGATATAATTGTTCAAATGTAGCTAGAAAGCACTCCCTTCCCATTTCTGATCTAGAATCTATATGTAATATATTGTAATATTATGTATATAATAATTATACAGTAGTCGTAGCAGTCGCAGCAGCAGCAGCAGCAGGAGGAGGAGGAGCAGTAGCAGTAGCAGTAGCAGTAGCAGCAGCAGCAGCAGCAGGAGGAGGAGGAGGAGTGCCGAATGGTTTTTGGCGGAAGACGTGGCCAAATGTAATTGGATTTCACTTGATATGATTTGATCTACCTTAGCGCTGGACAGACGTCCCCTCAGATCGCCCCAGTCTCCTTCCATGTTCCCAGGATTTCGGCGTCCACCTTGGACCACCGCAACTGGTGGCATCGACTGTCTCTCTTGGGACCGAACTGTACTGAGACTCAGATTGCAAAAGTTGGTGCCCTGGCATGATCGAAATCACTGTGTGCCGTTTCTGCATGAATTTCTATCATATAAAGACTGGGACTAAAGATGGACGAAAGCAGTGGCATGGGATGGTTGGACTTTTGAGTTTCTTTCTTCGGGATGTTGAGTAGAACCTTCTCTGTCAGGTTTCATTCCAGATCGATTTGCGCAGCACGGCGGCTCGCCAGTGGATCCCAGCTTGCCAGATCCCTCGGAAATTGTCACGGCAGTACTTTGGAAGGGAAATTGAGATCATTTTGAGTTCAATTCGCTGCCATGCTATGCCATGCTAGATCTTTCTGGCCCATGCAACACGTTTTTGCGATTTATGTGGTCGTGTGGAATCGGTGGTGGCATGGAAGACAGAGATTTGCTGAGGTGGACAAAATGGGACAGGCCGTTCCAGGCCTGTGTGACACAGTTTTTCGGGTTTCACCTCCTACTTAGTCTGAGAATGGCATGTTCATCAACGACCAAGACCACACAAAGACCTCAGTGGGCTGAGTGTTTCAGTACGTTGAGAACTTATAGCAGTAGAACATTGCTTAAGTATGCTTAAGTATCTCGATGTTGATGCAATCATAGTTTGGCAACACAGGGAAGAAGGTGGCAGGCAGATTCTTTGCATTGCCGTGTCATCATGTATCAGGCGGCATCGGTGACATACACGTGTAGGAAGGAATCCTGGAAATCGAGGGAGGCGTCGCAGCTTGTTTGTATGAGATCGTTCTCAGTCCCTCCATTTCCTGGTTCTTCATTCTTCACTTTCCTGGCTTATTGTCTTGCAGAAGAACTCATACTGCAAGAGTCCGCAAGCGGGAGGGGAGTTCATGCTTCTGAGAACGTCGATGACGAACCCATCCTTTTTCATCCACTCGCGTCGTGGGTTGTGACACTTGCAGGTCAGACCACATCAGCCCGCAGAACTGCGTTGGTCTCGATGTTTGTTTTAAGAGGTTTGCCTTGAAAGATCTTTTTGGTGTTTGCAATGTCCTTTTTGAATCTTTTTGAGTGTTTTCATGACGGTTACTTCGGAGACCCTCTATATTATATATATATGCTTTGCACATGTCGGGACATTTGCATTGCAGTAGAATGCAGTAGATCCCAAATTGGTGCACCACAACCAAAAAACACACACACACCTCGGCAGGCCACACACCGAAGAGCACCGACGCACCGGTGAACGCAGGTGTTTATCGATTGACCTTTGACTCCTTCTACGAGGAGCGGAGCCGATGGGGCCACAAGTCGGTCTTCGTCCTGCATCTCTGGATTGAAACTCGGAGTTCGCGGGCGACGTGCGGGTGAAGGCTCCCCGGGGCAGGGATTTTCCCTGTGCGGAGTCTAACATTATAGGGATGGGATGCCCCAATGCTGCTTGAAGAGCTCAAAAACACCAATATAATTAGAATGTTGACGTGGTTTTTGTATATTGTCAAGGACCTCAGACCACTCACAAGCGGTTTAAGGCTGCAAAACGACAGGGGTTAAAGATGAGCAGCAATTGTGGATCATGAGGACAGCAGGCAACAGGTCTGCCATGCGGACCTAGACTTTGCGGTGGAGGATGTTGCCTGGGCGGCTTGGTTGGCAGCTGGTCGAAGATCGCCCAAAGCTCTTCCGCAGAGCGCCAAGCGCCACGCGGCAAAAGGTTAGTGATTGAGGGGCACTGGGTCAAAAGAAATGAGCAGAGATGTGAAATGCCTCTGCCCAAGACCCCGCTTCCTCCCGGTCCCTGCTCATTGGCTTATCCCTCGTGAAAATTTGAGGGCATCGTTCTTGGGTACCGTACATGTTGCTTTCTCGGAGCTATTTGAAAGAGCGGCCGAACACACCCAAACATGCCAGTTTTGGAAATACTCGTATTCCTGTCAACTCAAAAATGCTGTAAGAAAATGCACTGTAGTGGGTAAGGTAGAACTACTGTAACTGTATTTGTGAGGATATGGTTTAATATAGAAAGAATGGTCCTTTGTTTTTCCTCATGCAGCTTTGCCATGAGGGGATCTCAATTCTTGCGTAGAAACGATCCTGAGCCAAGATGATTTCCGGATGCTGGGCTGAGGAAATTCTGCTTGTCTCCCTTTGTCTCCCTTTGTTTGGCTTTGTCCTTCTTTGTCTCCAGATCTCTTCTGGATGCTGGGCTGAGATTATTCTGCTTTGTTTCCATTTGTCTCCCGTTTCTCTTCTGGATGCTGGGCTGAGATTATTCTGCTTAGTCTCCCTTAGTCTCCCATCGTTCTTCTGGACGCTGTGCTGAGATGATTCTGTCTCCCATCTCTTTTCTGGATGCTGGGCTGAGGTGATTCTGCCTTGTTTCCCATCTCTCTTCTGTAAGCTGGGCTGAGATGATCCTGAATGTCTCCTTTTAACTTTCAAGATTAGCCTGTGAAAAGAACAAGCTGCCGCTGCTTTTTGGGGTCGATGCTGGTGTAATTGAGGCTGCTCAAAATTAGTGTTGTGTTGCTTTATTGCTGCGTCTCCTGCCTGTCCACCTTCAAGCAGCACCGGGAACCAGCTGGGCTTACCGTAGTCTTACCACAAGATGCCAAGTTGCTAGAATAGCTGCATTTTCATCTCACATGTCGTCAGAGTAGTTTCCAATATTTCTGTCAGTAATGAGGGGGCAACCCACTGGAAGAAATAAATGCTCACGCAAGCACCTACGACATATTTGCCTCACCCAGATTGAAGAGCACAGTCGCAAAGCCTGGAAAACTGTCTACATGGAGGCAACATGAGGCAACTATGAAGATAACACAGATATATAACTATTTGCAAACTTGTCCTCTAGATGAAGCGCCACTAACCTGAGCTAGAAAGAAACTTGACAAGCAGACTAAGCAAGCTGTCAAAAGCAACGTCTTGTGTTGACTTCTGTTCGTTTGGATCCTTCGCCTTATGGGAACCAAGGCAAGCGTCCACGGGCCTGAAACCGAAGGACCACCTCAAGCTGCTCACTACATGCTGCGCATGGAGATGACACGAGAACCTTGTCGCGAGCGGCACCTGAGCCCTCTGAACCCCAGTTGCAGCTCCAGTTGCATTTTGTGAAAAGATTGTGCCGGCAGGAAGGGTTGCAAGTTCGCAATCGCAATCCATTTCATTGTCCCCAGACAATGAGAAAGAACCTGCTCCACTCTTTCCCAGACGACGTCGTGGCTTTGATCCCTGGCCTGGAACGAGTTGAAAGAGCGTCTGATGCGTCGTCACCACGGCCTTTTGTGGCGCCTTCCGGACGATGCGGCCCGGAAAAGATGGGCATTGCGCATGGCTGTATTGGCAAATAGGCATCGGCCTCGCTTGCTTTGGCTATCTTCAGCCTTCGACCAGGCGGTCGCAAGCAAGAAAAAGGATTCTGCAGCCACTTGACGTTTGACACCAGGTCGGTCACATGGAGAGGTCCTGCAATAGGCAGGACCCTCCAACAAGGATAGCACAGCCAACCACCGCCTTGCTACTATCCATCAACATACCTCACCAACCATCCAACAGTCAGACAGCCAACTCGCACACATTCCAGGCTGAGGCTCTACGCTCTGGGGGATGCCAATCGTTTCACCTCAGGAGCCGCGCGTATTTGGACCGCCGAAGCGAAGGCGGTACTTGGCACGGGTGGGTTGGATTGGGTTGGGGACCTTGCTGGAGAAGCTGCTTCGTCGTGGACGAATCGATCTAATATGATCTAATGAGCGACGGGATTTTTGAGACATGGGATAGACCGATGGCCATCGGACACCGTTGGTGACTTGACACTGCGCCGAAATCAGATGTGCCGACACATTCATCAGGACACAACTGCAGTTGCAGCGCAACGAGTCTTCCGATACTTGCATCGGGCAGGCAAAGATTCGCACACAAAAGAAGTCAGCAAAGCGACAGGAGCAAACTCATATATAATCATATATATATATATACGTAAAAGATCGTGAAAAAAACGCTAGACAGGATATTGCAAGGCTTCAATGTCCTTTGTACTGATCCTGTTGTCCTTTGTCAATCCGCGGGCCCCCAAAGCCACTCGCTAAATATATGATTCTTGCTTTTGGTCTGACATTTGCTGTGCCGCACGTCAGCCAGCAATGTAGGTGGCTCCGCCAACCTGCATTACGTCACTGGAAAGACCTGCACTCAGAACGGGGTTGCAATGTTTTTCCTAGTTCCCTTTGGTTTGGTTTCGGGGCCAAGCTGGTGGCTGTCAGTAGTCATGGTGGTTATATCGGTAGCTTGTAGTACTCATTTAGCGTCTAATGAAGGTTATATTGGGACTTGGAGAGGCCTTGAAGCGTTTTGGACCCATTTATGAGAATGGTCTTGGAATGTCTTGGACCTTGTTCTTGCCAGTGTTGTCATCAGGTATGGATGCAAGAAGACGACCTTGTTGGAATTTGTGGGCCTTGCAAAGTTCGGAGAACCGGGTTTGCGGTTTGCAGTGTTGATGATGTTGAGCAAGTGAACTCTCCCCAACTCTACTCTACTCCTTGGTTAGGGATGAATAGACAGCAGAAAGGAGGGTTATCAGGATGATGGCCAGTTGTCGGGATCATCCAAACTCCAAACTGCAAGTGCATTCTTTTGCTTCAGCATGACTAGTTTTGTAGCATTATAGGCCATTCACCGCTGTCTACCCCGACCCCAACAGGGTGCCAGAGGTTTGTCGATTTGAAGGCTCTTCTGAAATCCGCCCTGTTGCTGCGGCCAGGAAGGTGGCACAATCTTCGAAGCTGAAGGAGATCTCCTAAAGCTCAAAGGCGAACAGACCGACGGGATGGGAATATATGGGAATCACATAAAAGTGAAGTACACTGCTGCCAACATCGTTACAGATGTGTTGCGGTCATGCGCAGCATAGATCATTGAACATGCAGGATGTGCTGACAGTCAAAGACGAGCAAAAAAACGGACACAGTCCAGCGGTGTTTTCTGACAACACTTCCCAGCTGGGACTGCTTAAGAGGAGGGCCCCATGGAACGGCTGGGCGAACGGTGCGTGGGAATGCGACTGCGGAAGGGCTTCGCTGTCCAAATCGGCAGGTGGAGCGCTGGCTGTTGCAGCAGCTGCTGCAGCAGTATGACTCTCAAACTGCACAGGTTTGCTGGACTCCAAACTTGCCATGACTTCTACTGTGCGTTTACCTTTGCCTTTCGATATCTTTTGGTTCTCTTGATGATGCTAGCATGATGTTTGACCATGTTGACCCAATCATATAGCAAGTCATGCCTTCTGGATCCTGGGAAGCTCAGGCTGGCCGGGTCACCAGGAAAGTGGGGCGCCGGAAATCTCCCCAGCACCTGCTGACGAAAGCAGGTTTTGCCACCAAGGAGGCTCTGAAAGTAAGCAGTTCCATTGGCAGATTTGTGCTCTAGATCTGTCAGAGGCGAGAGGACCACTATACGCACTACACACATATATGTATATATTTTTCTATATATATATATTTACACACTTGCTGTTTGCGAGGACTCTTGTGGTAAGCCAAACTCCGTGACATCACCATAGAAGGAAGCGGAAGAACAACCAAAAGTGGAGTGAGTTAGCTGATTCAGCTATATACATTCAATGGAACTGTCACAGACTCGACCCTGCCTGCTGATTCCGTGCCGACCGACCTTTCACAGGACACGGCCAGATATCTGCAGAGACGCATTGAGGGTCTCCTCATGACCGCTGGCGATGGCGTCTTGCAGTTCAAGGCCCAGACCAGACGCTTAAGCGGCGCCCCTTTGGGCCGCACCGAGAAAGACCCGGGAGTAGCCATGATAGACTGTAACTGCACGGCATGCGTGTGCATGTTTTGATGTTCAAAGCTGGGTGCAAACTGATTGCAAGCACTGTGTTTATTAAGACATGTTAAAAAGCTATTGTTGGTCCCCAGTCAGCTCACCAGTACCGTGGAGTGCAACTGAATAACTATTTTCAACTAGCTGCACGCATGCATATATATATATATCTATATGATACCCCCCCAAAAAAATGACAATCCAAAGTCATATTTCGCTTTTATTTACAGTAAACATTGTTTTTTTTGGTACAATTTAATGGGTCTGAGTAATCCGGTCCACCTATTAAAGAACACGGGGTCGCCCCCCCCAAGAAGGAAACCTCGGTCGCATTTGTTTTAAATAGGGGGTCCCTGAAATCGGGGTGGTCCAAAATAGGGTAACCTGGGAAGGGCTTCAAAACCAAAAAGTCACCCAGGACAATTTTATATAACATCATTTATTAAAACCTCCAGATCGAAGGTCTTCCTTTTCCCCCTACAAAACCATACAAAACCTTTATTAGAATATATATTCTTCATTAGACTAAAAACACGACGTGTCATGGTGGATAGACAGGGTGGACAGAGGTGGGTAGTTACGGTTGTTAATTATTGGGGAACCTAATTTTAAAAAAGCTCCTCCAAAATCGGCAATGTTGGTAGTTTAGTAGCGGCTTGAAAGGGCGGCAATTTAAAAACGCATATAAAACGTATTTAGGGGTTTCCGACATGACTTTGTTTAAATAGGGGTCCGTCTTTAAATAGGTACTCGGGATTACACATTGAACAAAGGAGACAACAACAAGAACAAAGAGTTTGTCTTAAGTCTCAACTCTGAACTCAAGTTTGAACTCAAGTCTGAGTAACGTAGGGATCCAAGAGAAAACTTTTTGGATCCAGCCCAGAAATCTTGGATCCAACTACCTCACCTGGATCCAAGATTTTTTCCACCTGGATCCAAGAAAAGTCACTTTTAGGTCCTGGGATTGGACAATAGTCCGCCGCTACTAGGGTGGCTAGAAAGGAAAGGTTTGGTGGCTGTGAAGAGGCGGCAAATGCACCAACCACTTAAGCCACAGGGAGCCCAAGCTGATGACATGCACAAAGTGTATGTCGTTCTGAGCTTACATATGCTAAAAGAGATATGTGGCTGGAACATTCCAAAAGATGCTCCAGGGCAACTTACAAGGAGCAAACATATAGGTAAGATACAACCTTTAACAGCTTTCTAGACAGTTTCCTGTACACTCTTTGGTGGTAGACCCTTGCTGGTACCCCCTAACAATTCCCATCGCCGTCACGTGCTTGTTCTTTTTTCCGGGGGGCTGGGCCCAAAGGCTATACCAGTCAATATGTTGTGCTACGCTGCTGCCCTGTATGATTTGTATGTTTCTGTTGGAGTTTTGCCTGAGCAGTGAGTTAGCTGAGCACGCTTTCCGAACCAGCCAGCCTGGCCTAAGAGGCTGTGCTCCGGGCGCTGGCCTTGCAACCTTCGCATGCGTCACTGGCCCAAGATTACCTCTCTCTAGTCCATATATACCTATTTCTGATTCCACATGCCCCGTCAAGCAGGTGAAGCTTCCACTCCCAAGGTTGAAGCGGTGGCTTCCGAAAGTGGGGCTGCGATCATCTGCGAATGGCGACTTGTGGGTTGCGATCTGAGAAGCACATGTCCCACATCTTTCCCGCGAACCACCGAGTTTCGTTTAGACCCTCTCTCTCACTGTAAATCAGTATAATATTCTCTATATATTGATGCCGATATGCCTTCCCGCCCTCGGCTTCTGCTTTTCGCATTGTTTCCCGCTTTCAGCCTGACCAGCCGAGCGCACATGACCTGGAGGTTGATCCATACAGATTGCGTGGGGCTGAGAATCTGCAGAGCATGGGGAGCATGTCCTTCCTTAGAGCATGTTGGATTTGAACCATCAGATACAACATCATCCATGTATATCTGTATATCCATGCAACACGTCCCATGTTTCGTGTCCTTCTCAGGTTTTCCTTCCGCATGTACCGCATCTTGGAAGCCGCGTCTGCTCGGGCACTTGGCGTTTCTATTCACCTTTGCTTCACCACGTTCCGGGTGTCACGCTCGTCACGCTCGGGTTCGTCTCTGAGTTCGTCAGTGAGCAGAATGGCGAGGCACGCGCATGTTTTCCCCCGTTGGG